TAAATAATTCAATAAAAAATGTGAGTTTTGCATGCTCAGATAGGAATCCCATGTTAACTGGTGCAACTTTGAACCCAAATTTCTCAGTTTTTAGCAAGGCAAGGGGTACTGGGTTTTTACCACTTATAAAGTACATAAAAAGGAACATTTTCCGAGAGTTTAAAAAAATTCTAGCGAAAATCGATTTGCCGGAGAAATACCTTAATTTTTGTTTCTTTCATTTTTTTGAAATATGTGGCATTGGTATTAGCGAAAGAACCAACATCCTAAACTGTTTTCAAGGTAAAGTTAAATGAGTAATACGTATGGTTAATTTAGAAATATTAAATATGACAGTAGTGGAAATAATATATTGCAGTTTTACAAATACTTTGTCACCCATTATTGTATAACTTTAACATCGATACCGTGTGGCAGTATCTATATGAGCAACATATTATTGTTCGTCTACCGATAATGATCGCTGTACTCCATAGTTATTTCTTTCAGTGCATATTAATTATAAAGTTGATTAATTTTTCACAGAATATGTCTCATTTGAACACGTGCATTAATAAATTAGAGTGACTCTTTTGTCGGCATTGGTTCGAATAAAATTTCGGGTTAACACAAATATATCGAGTACAGTACGTTACCATTGACTTGAGAGAAAAATAAAAATTATAGTTTATGGCATTAGTTTTAAGTAAGTTTAGGGTTGACGTATATTAAATTCGGTATCTCGTGTCGGTGACATGAGAGAAAATTAAGAATCTTAGTTTATGATATCAGTTTTTAGGAAATATATTATTAATTATTATAATAAATCGTTACGGTTCGGTGACGTGACATAAGTTATATATTTTCCTGTCCTAAAATTTATAAAATAATAATTTATTTATTGATTGGTACTAAAACAAAGATGTATATTGAATAATAAAACTTCAAATATATTTGAAACCAATGAATAAAAATTGATAAAAGAAATCGAATTTCCAGTTACTTCAAAAAAAAAAATTTATCTCTCGTAAATGACCAATTTCTGAAAAATCACCCATAATATATTAAGGATAAAATTCTTCTATTTCGTTCCACTCTTAACAACAGTGGAAATGTCAACATTAAATTTTTATCTTCTTTTGTGTAACACACTTTAATAAATTAAAGGGGCTGTTCAAGTATCACGTCAGCACATCCTGCCGGGGAAATAGTTTTTTATTTACTCATGATTTCTTGCTCTAGACATTGAAGTAGAATTACAGAAAATTACCAGAATTCAGAAAGAATGAATGAAAAGTTATAATTTTATTAAACAATATTAACAATAATCAGTGAAATTTCATTGATTTAGAGAGTATGTTTAATGAACAAGAAATATTTTAACCATATTTTGGTATTTGGGGTTACGAATTGAATTTCATTATTGGCGATGGTTTATGAACAAATGAATTTTAAAGGCTGTACACGCGCTCATTATAATGTAATACAATTAAAACCTGTTTGTGATACTATGATTACATATTAATACAGTATAAAAGCAAATTGCTATTTTCATATATTAATATTGAAAAACAAATGATCAGAGTAAAATTTTAATTCCTACTTAACGCTTGAAAATTTACGACAGTTTAGGTGTTCCAATTTGGCGCTTATTTCGAATTCTTTTAACTTGTAGGTGTTAAGTAGAACTTGGAAAACCGAAAATTGAAATTATTAATTTCCATATATTCTGCGGATTCTTTTATTATGCTGTAAAGAAAAATATTGCTAGTCTTTACTGGGCATATAGAAAAGAATTATTTATAATTTATATAAGATATAATTTTCCCTAACCTTTTTTTTTGCATCTTCAAATTAGGAATGTAATTTTTCAAAACGTTACCAAAATAATAATTTGTCGTGGTTTTTTCGACTTTAAAAAAACGCTTTTACTTGATTTTCAAATGACTTTCCACGGGCTCCTTTTTTTTTCTTTTTGCATCAGTGGTCATTTTTTTGTGCTCTCTTTTTTTATGTTATGTTTTACCTCAGAAACGTTACAGGACGTGACTCTGAAATTTACCCTCAGGATAATTAACGAGAGGACTCGAATGTCTCCTTCGTTTGAAACATACGTTTAACGACCTGCGTTGCCAGAAGGAAATTACGGATTCGTATGGATGTAGAAGTGGACTATCTAGAAAAGTAGAGGCACGTTCTTCTATAATTGTTGAGGTGGTTTCTCGACAGCCTTTAGAGTTCCCATCTCTCTTTCAAGTAATCGTTCTTTAAAACATACTCCCTTTTTTTCATTTACGTAAAATGACTCGGAAAGTTAAAAAAAGAAAATATACTTCAATTGAATTAAATTATTCATTTAAACTGAGATTCGTCGTTTATGTAAAAGATAACTATTTTTAATTTGAAAATGTTTTTATAAATATTTTAATTACTTTAATTGTCATCTAAATGAATGTTCGAAAATTAATCCACTCAATGATGTTCATAATTGAAAGTTGACTGAAAATTATATTTTAAAGTTTAAAAATTTATAATATTTTTTAATTATATATTTTTTTGTTTCTTATAGTGTGAGGATCGTATATAAATTACTGTGTATGATCGTCATAAGACTGAAAACGAAAAACGTTGTTCATACCCAGACAAACGCACGGACGGTTAAAAAAGGCCCCTGAACCCCCACCTAGAACCGAATGAGAATTCTAGGTTTCCCCCACCAGTACCGAGCTCACTCGCCTGCTATAAATATCGAGTTTTCACAGAGGAGTAGCACATTGTACTTCTGTTCCTGGTGCTAAGCAACGCCTCATAAACAATTGCAAAAGGCAACAAAGAAAGTGATTTCTACTTTTTTACCCACACAAAGAATATATAAATATTATTAAATATATAAACTTTAATAAAATAAAGAAACATTCAGATAAGTTACTTAAAATAAGAGGCGCTGAATATATATCTTAGAATTAAGAAATTTTTGTATAACTTTAATGTACAACTTTCAATGATAAATAAATATGGTTTTCAAGGTCAAGTCAAAGAAAATGATTGATTTTTTCCAACTTTGGAAATTTAAAACCAATATGGAAAAAACTGAATTACATAATACTTTTTACTTAGAAAAATTTTGAACACAAACGTTTTAATTTAACGATTTTTATCCAGTTTTTACTCGATAATAGCGTAAAATTAAAAAGTAATGTCCCTAGTATTTTTCGTGTTCAGGAAGTGAGCATCCGTGCATATTTCTCTTACTTTCGTATTCTCGTACATTAATTCAATAATTTGATCCTCGTGTACTTTTTATTCAACGTTTAAAAATATTTCCGTTTCCATCGTATACGTCACGACCACGCGTTTTTACAACAAATCGCGGCATTATTTTATATTCTTCTTCTCGCGTCTCATTTTTACAAACCATTTATAGTTTTCTATTTTAATGCAGAATTATCATTTTCAATGTAGCGTTACTTTAAATAAGTTATTCTTTTATTCAGTTCTTGAATATTGAGACAATCTTACGTATCATATTATTTTATTTACATATTTGTATTTCAATTAAATATCTTATTTTCACGTAGAAAAATGTAAAACAAAATAATAGTAACTGTAGTAAACTTAAACTGTCCGGAAGTTTTGTGTATTTCTGACAACTTTTGCTCCTTAAATAGTAAAAACTATATTATTTCCAGAGTTTATTTTAACATTTCAGTAGTAATTTTTTCTATTTCCGGAGCAGAAGTTGACAGAAATTCCGTACAGTTTAGGTTTTACTTTGTAAATAGTAGAAGACATTCAATATTTTTCCTGTCTTTCTTTAGAACATTGTATATAAATAAATTTGGAAATATTTTTTGATTATTTGTTATAGACTAGTAATTCTTTTTTTGAATCAAATTCAAATGAGCTAATTTGCTTTTATTTCATTACATTCTAGAAATTAGGATGAGACGTGTTACGTCTCAAATAGAGAAATAACTAACGAAATAATATTTTATTTATGGCCTCTCGGTGATTCAGTGAATTCCTGTTTCATTTACAGAGCAAAAGACTCTGAGCTAAGGGTACAGGGAAGAAAGAGAATATTGATTTTTAATGACAACGTTACAAGTTTATTTAGACAAACATTTAGAGTTATAAAATTGATCTTTAAGAAAGAGTATTCTGAAGCAACCATTCTTGAAATAAGGAAATTAGCATTCCACTGCAACAAGGAATGTAAAGGTTACTACAAATTTTTATAACGAATTAGGAAGGATTTAGATAACAAGTATTGCGACTTCCCTTGAAAATTTAGATGTAAGATGTATGAAAAAGGACCACTACTGTGTTCTAATTATGATAGGAACTTCTGGTACCAGATATAGTTTAAGAGCTCACTGGAAAGTTGACGGGCCTTGGTGATGACCACAGGTCCGGAGTTCAGTTGACCGTAATGAAACCCAAATAATTAAATTCTTCCAAATAAAGGAAAAAAGATGATTTCTAAATATTATGGGAAGTCAAAGCCTTGAATACTTGGATGAGCTCTTCTTGATGTAGAAATTTTTAACACTTGACACAAAGATTCTTCTAAGTCGAACTTGAGTATGAAATCGAGCAGAGTAGCAGTACTTGTACAAAATTTCGTATATGAAGAAGACGTGCTGGTACCAAAATCTGAACTAAATGTTACGGGTTCGGTGTCAATTTCTGAACTGAACTCTTCCGAGAAAATGTAGACCTTTTATACAGGATTTTTATAAAGAGGGTTGACGAATTCTCGGAAGTGGGTTGCATTTTCCACCTTTTTCATTAAAAGAGTTGATCATTGACCACCTTTTGCTTTCCAATAAATTATGGTAATAAAGGAAATCATAAACACATTTTCTCGGCAGAACAACAGACGTAATCCTAATTATTCAAAGATTTTTGAATCTATAGAAATTTTATTTAAAAAGATACATTAAATTCTTCTCCCTTATCCTACATTATAAAAATGTACTATAAAATAAATTTTTCTTCAAATATTCCTCTTGTTTCAGGTTTCCTGGATGCGTAAAAGGGATTTACACATATTGACATCGTCAATTTTCACATATACAGGGGATGGAAGATTTTCAGTGAAACATCCTGAAGTGTCTGATGAGTGGAGATTAAGGATCGAATATGTCCAGCCAAGAGATGCCGGCATCTACGAATGTCAAGTTAATACAGAGCCAAAGATGAATTTAGCCTTTATGTTGAAAGTGGAAGGTAATAATTTTTCAATATTTTTTTATTTTCCTATTTTTTATTCATATTACTCAGATGTCACTAATTTTAAATGTCAAACAAAAATTTCATTTCACTTTATTGTATACAAAATAACTTTTTTTTCATCATTTTTCTTATTGAATTGATTTCAAATTCATTTATTCATTAATAATCATATAATAATAATCTATAACCGCGAAACCGAACTTTAAAATTTTACTATTATAAAAAAAAATTTAGAGAATATAGATTACTATTTATCACAAATTTTCTGTATTAAAAAATTTGAATTTTATAAAAATGTAAAAATTGTAAATATGATATAGTAATATCTCTTTGATTACTTCTTCTTATTTCTTTTTTCTCTACAATTTCATATATCATTTTTATAGAATTCAACTAAACACCCTATTTTGCGAATTCTTTTAAATTTTAAAAAGCCGAAGAGAAAATCTCAAAATGTCGATTTTTTTCTAGAAGAGAGAAATATAATTATATACTAACTGCAGAACGATATTTAACTTTTTCTATTTGTTAAAATAATAGAAAATTTGAATTTTGTATTTAAAATTAAAAAAAAAAAAGAAAAAATGCTTCTGGTGCTTGAGTAATGGAATCGAAGTGCACTGAAAGCAGGTTCGAGTCAAGTATATAGCACGTTGCATGTACTTAAATTTCTTTTTTATATGTATAGCATTTTAATGCAATGTTAACGGTTGAGTAGCGTTTCGATCCTCTGCCTGAAAAGTGTGATCTCTTCGACTTCGATTAACTCGATATCTTTTCTGTCCTCCCATTCCAGAAAGTAGCCCTGTCCCTGCCACCACACCGAACGCCATTCATCGGACGTTCAGCTCAGGTTAGAATCATGCAAGAGTAAACTCTCTCTCTCTCTCGCTCTCTCTCTCTCTCTATCCTTCCGTGCTGTTGATCCAAAATGCATTTAGTAGTAGTGTTCTTGTGATAAGACCGCGAAACTGCCTTAACTCTTTCAGCTCTTAAATCCATTCAACTCGAAGTTAGTGCTTTACATGTTTTACAAATCTTCTAGATACAGAATATGATATTACGGTATATAGAAGGATTAAATTTTAATTATAGAGACTAAAATATGAATAAAATTTAAGTCATGTATTTTACTTTTACTGAGGAGAAAAAAATTGATATTTTATAGAAGAAAAAGAAATTTATAGAAGAATATTTCTATAATAAAAGTAAAAATAATTTTTTCATTCAATAAATAATAATAATTGTAAATTAATTTTTTCAGGATATTTTGAATGTGTAAAAAATATGGAATATCTAATCAAGTGTTCCATGAAGAAAATTTGACATTATTCAAACAGTTACTTTACTATAATAATCATTACACAGGCCAACACTGATTTTGGTGCGGCAAATGTTAGACCTGTTTCTGATAGGTTTTTTCATGCCACAGTAAACTTGGTTGTATCTTTTTCTATTGCAACGTTTTGATGCACATAAGTTATATCAAAAAGAGATCGTTTTGTGTATCATTTTTAGAAATGATACACGAAACGGTCTCATTTTTTGATGCAAAAAATTGAATCAATTTATATCAATCATGGCCGAATTGAATCGACTCAAAATTAAACGAATTTTTTTCAGATATTTTGGTAATAGTACAATTGCGGAGACCATTTCACTATTTAATTTGAAAATGAAAATAACAGAAAATCAAAGACAATGTGCAATTCGATAATTAAAAAGTGACAGCTTATAAACATAACCTAAAATGCATGAGAAAAAATTTGTCGATAAAATCAATATAGCCGAGCTTTTTAGAACGTAGATGGCAGCACTCATCTATTTTCTTTCTTTCAATTTTTTCTGAATCGTTTTTATAAAAAGCAAAACTGTCATCTACCTTCTAAAAAGCTCGGCCATATTGATTTTATCGACAAATTTTTTCTTATGCATTTTAGGTTATGTTTATAAGCTGTCACTTTTTAATTATCGAATTGCACATTGTCTTTGATTTTCTGTTATTTTCATTTTCAAATTAAATAGTGAAATGGTCTCCGCAATTGTACTATTACCAAAATATCTGAAAAAAATTCGTTTAATTTTGAGTCGATTCAATTCGGCCATGATTGATATAAATTGATTCAATTTTTTGCATCAAAAAATGAGACCGTTTCGTGTATTATTTCTAAAAATTATACACAAAACGATCTCTTTTTGATATAACTTATGTGCATCAAAACGTTGCAAAGATTTGATGCAATTTTTGGTCTCAATTTGATACTTTTAGGAAAACTGTGTGCTGAACACAAATCCGTAAACGAAAAGTTCCTATCAGCTCTAGTTTTTGAGAAAAACGGGTTTTAAATGTTCAAAAATCGCGTTTTTGGCTAACTTTGAGTACCTCTAGCACTGAAATAACAGGTCGTAGAACCTTCCACTTGGGCTTAAATTGATGCTTAATGTTTCAACTATTATCCCCAAAAATGACCTATGTTGCACCATAATCTCAAAGTCATTTGTTATCATTTTTGATTCGCAAATATTAATTTTGTAAAAGTTTGAGCGCGTACCTCTATTAGAACCTTTTATTTGAACTTAAAATAAAGTTTGAATTTTAGTGATAGAACGTCCAAGCGCCCGTCCTGCCGGAAGGCTTTTTTGGATGGCCCTATATATATGAGGGTGGTAAAAAGGGAACTCAAAATTTTTTTCTGTCACCCTTTCTTATTAAAGTAGACGTAAAAACGAAAAAATTCATGCGTTAGACTTTAAAAAAAAAAATATTAAACCATGTTTCGAAGCCTTCAAACTTTGCATGTTTGCAACAAGCCAAAAAACAGTTTTTCGTAAATTCACTGTAAAATCTACAAAAACCAATATTTTTCGGTCTAACTACTCTCATTTTCTTCTGAAGCCTTCAGAGAATAAAATGTGATAGTTTATTTTTAAAAAAATTCAGTTTAAATATTTTTTTGGATTCGTCAAAAAAACCCTATAAAACGTCTTTTTTCTTTGAATTCCCTAGCCTAGGGATTTTAATTTACAAACTTTATGTTTACATGCGCTAAAAGCTTGTGTTTTTACCTTTCCAACGATATATTTTACTTTTGGATTATCTGAATCCATGTTAATTTTATAAAGCGATTTCGGAGGGACTCACGTGAGTCTTTTTCATCCTGCCGGAAGGCTGTTGGACGTTCTATCATTAGACTACAAGCCTCAAAAATTATATTATTCACTAATAACCTCAAATTTGTTGGTAACTAGTATTTAACTACAGAACTTATTTGGTAATATTTGAATAACTCTAGTCAATAAAATCAAAGGTGAGTGAACCTTCTTGTTGAGCTTCAATTCAATTTATCCCTTGATTGTAGTTCATAAAAATTACATTGCTGCACCTTAACCTCAAGGACTAGATGTACGCGCTCAAACTTTTACAAAATTAATATTTGCGAATCAAAAATGATAACAAATGACTTTGAGATTATGGTGCAACATGGGTCATTTTTGGGGATAATAGTTGAAACATTAAGCTTCAAATTAAGCCCAAGTGGAAGGTTCTACGACCTTTTGTTTCAGTGTTAGAGCTACTAGTTTTCTAATTTTGTTGGCCTGTGTTATTCTAATGGCTTTAAGAAAAAATATAAAAAAGAAATTACAAAAAAAGTTTTAATAGGAATGAATATTATCACAATGCTATTTCTAAACAAAAAAAATAGTTTAACGGACATAATTCTAATTGGGACAAAATTGAAGTCTTTTTAGAAAATTTACAGGCCCAGGATCGATTTTAAGGCGCAAAGAAGTCGTTTTAGTCGATTTACATTAAAAAAAAAGTCGATTTTTTTATTTTAATTAAATTTTTATTAGTTATTAAGTATTTTACTTTAAGGGGTTACACCACTTTGACCGCATGAAAAAATACACGTTTTCAAGAATTTTTTTTTGAAGAACGGAAATTTTTTTACTAACATTCAAATACATAATGTTATTATGCTACTATTAAACTCTAAAAAAAAATATTAAAAAAAATTTTTTTTTCAAATTACCTTTTTGGCGCTCCAAAAATCAATGGTCCTGCGGTGGCCCAGATAACTCACTCCAGATTTGAGCTAAAATAAAAAACCAAAAAGCATTAGTTTCTGTAGCCCAAAATCTAGAGAAATACGTATCCATTTTTAAAAATATGCATTTTTGACAAAATAAGGGGCCATTCATTAATTACGTAAGGGTTCTTAGGGGGAGGGGGAGGTTTATAAAATCTCTACATGGTCTTACGTCGGGCTGGGGGGGGGGGGTAAAAGCTATTCTTACGTAAGATTTTGTCAAGTATTTTCCATTTGTATTGTTTGTAATTAATTTTTTATAATTACATTAACCCCTTCACTGTCACTGACCTCTATAGCAGCACAAAAAAGTCGTGCCCTGTGTGTCACTGACTGCTATAGCAGCATAAAAAAAACCATTCAAAAGTTAACAAATCCGGCTGAAAATGCTTACTCGGGGGTTTTTGAGGTCGCAGAATTCAAATCTGAAGTCAAGAATAAAGAATTCAAAATGGCGGATCCAATATGGCGGACTGTAAAGTTTAAAATTGGTGGCACAAAAACTTCATTTTTACTGGACTGCGAAGGGGTTAATATTGTTAAAAACTAACGTAAGAAGGGGGAGAGGGGGGGTTCGAAAAATCTTTTGTATTCTTATATGGGGGTAGGGGGGGTCAAAATTAGCCAAAATCGTCCTTACGTAATTAATGAATGATCCCTAACGTTATTTATTTGAATTTTAGTAAAAAAAATTCCGTTCTTCAAAAGAAATTCTTGAAAACGCGTATTTTTTCATGCGGTCAAAGTGGTGTAACCCCTTAAATAACTAATCAGGGTTGCCACAAGTCAGGGAAATGTCAGGGAAATTAATTTTTGTCAGGGAAGTCAGGGAATTTAATAAAAAGTGCTGGAAAGTGTTGTAAACCTAGATTTTTATTAAAATATTCATTTGTTAAAAATGATAATTTTATAAAAATTATACAGAATTATTTGCAGAATTTTTATTTGACCCAAGTTTTATTTGATCGAAATTTCATTTAACACAATTTTTGATAGAATTTATATTTGATAGAAAAAACGAAAATGTCAGGGAAAAATACAAAATTTTTGTTTGAAAGTCAAGGAAATGTCAGGGAAAATTATTTTGAAATTTTTGTGGCAACCCTGCTAATGCTATTAAATATTAAATCCATTTTATTATTTCCTCAATTTTAATTAAGTAGGACAAATTTCTAATAAAAAAAAATTATGAAAACAATTCAATTTTAGAGTTTTTATTTGAAACTTTTTTAATTAATTTTGAATTTTTAAAGAAATATTAAAATTATTAAAAATAATTGAATTTTGAAAAAGTTATAGTTTGAAATTTTTAGAAATAATTAAATCTCAAAAAATTTCGTTAAATTTTAGACAATAATTCAATTTTACAGAATTGAAAATAATTTATCAAATAATTTTAGATAACATTTTTTTAATTTAATTAAACTTCAAATGATTTTTAATTGAAATTTTTTGGTGATTTTTGTTGATGAATAATTAATTAGAAATTGCAGACAAAAATTGGATTCAAAATTTTTTCAATTAAAAAATGCTTTCACATAATTTGAAAAAGTTTAAGATGGAAAAATTTAAAAATAATTAAATTTTAGAAGGTTATGAATAGAAATTTTTGAAATTAATTAAATTCAAATGATTTGTCAGAAATTGTAGTTTAAAATTTTCTAATTGAAAAATGCTTTGAGATAATTGTATTTTTAAAGAATATTATAAAAAAAACATTAAAAATTATTGAATTTCGAAAGTCTTATAATTGAAATTATTAAATTTCAGAAAGTTTTTGATGGAAAATTTAAAAAATAATCATATTTTTAAAAGGTTTTAAATTGAAATAAAGAAGATTTTAAGATTTGTATTGTATACTAAAAAAGACGTATTTTGTTTTACAATTTTGTAAAAAAAAGTCGAAAAAGTCGCATTTTATTAAAATAAGTCGAAAAAAGTCATAATATAATCCGAGGCCTGAATTTAAATACAGAGAAAAAACAACGGGTACAAATAAATTGTGATAAATTCGAAAAAAAATATTTGTTAATTTTAGAATTTGTATGTTTTTTTTTTAAATTGAAAATTTTAAAAACCCATACTAAAGGAACAATAAAAAAAAGTATACAAAAAAAATTGCAGATTAAAAATAATAGAAATTGTGGAAGAAGTTGAATTTTAAAAGCATTAACAGTAAAATTTAAACCAATACAAAGTTAAGTTATTTAGAGGTGTTAATTTTTTTTTCGACATATTTTTGGAACCTAAAACCATATTCTATGATAAAAACTTTTTTATAATAATTTTGGACCTTTTTTTAAAAACTTTTAAAAATTTGTTTAAAAATTTATTTTTGGTAAAAATTAAATTTTTTAAACTATATTTGATTGTTCAGTATCATGAAAAAAGTGTAGAAAAATTAACAGTGAAAAATAATTAAAATTGTAAGAGAAGTTTAAATTTAAAATTTTTAAGAATTTCGAGTTCAATTTAAAAAAAAAATTATTCACTGAGTTTTTTTTAATTTTTTATAAAATATTATATTTTAAAATACTCAATACACTAGATACATTGTAATAATCTGAAGAGGATGACAATTTTGGTATCGAAACATCGTTGTGTGATGTAATATAATAAAATTATTTATCCAGAATATCCTGAAAAAATGAATTTTTTTTTTTTTAAATAAAAGTAAAGTAATTTCTATAAAGTAGTTCTTTAATAGAGTTTACGATAAATATATAGATATATCTTGACAATACAAACTTAAACGGCAAGTATGTTTCTAAACTTTCTTCAAACAACTTATTTGAGCGCCATTATTTAACTTGGCAAAACTTTTTACTTTTCTTCTTTATTTTATTTATTTTTTTATTTATTTATTTATTTTCACTATACAGTCAGTTATATTTGTTTCCTTCTTTCTTTTAAGTTAATTTTCTACTTTATTATCGTAATTTACTTTTTCACATATAATACAATATTTTTATCTCTCGATTATCGTTTCGTTTAAAGTTTTCCTTTTTTTTTCTTTTAGTGATCAATTTATTTTATTTTTTTTTTTCATAAGAAAAGTAGACCTTTATAAAACATTAAAGTAAAAAGATTTTCCACTGTGTGTGTGGTAATTTTTTTTTCTCTAAAAAAAGGGTAAATATATACAAAAAAAAAAAAATTGTATTCAACTGAAAGAGTTATGGTATACAGCTTTCTTTACTTTCATTTATTCGCTTCATTTCCTTTTCTTTTCCAAATGCATAATTTGCACCTGCAAGCTTAAACTTTTCATATATAATTTCGCCTGCTTTGATGTTGGTTTTTATTTGCATGACGTATACACTTCGCAGAAAAAAAAAGTTTTTCTAAAGAAATGAGGAGAATTTAAAATTATCTTTTTAACGTTTTAACATTTTTCAAAAAAAAAAAAAAAAAAAAAAAAAAATGAAACACAGGAAAATAAAATTTTATTTTTCTACAATTTTTTTTCACAAATCCTATATTATGATAAACGTTTACTCAAGTTTAAATTTTAATTCATAAAACAATGTTTTTGAATTTTTTTTATTATTTTTCAAACAGAGTGTTATTATTTTAAAATTTTTATAAGTTTTGACAATTTATTAAATTTAATTGAAACTTATTTGAATTAATTTATAAATTATTTATTTTTTTATGTCATAAAGCATGATAGCAGAAGATCGATTCGCAGAAGTATCAGAATATATGTGGACGATTCTACGTCAAATTTATGGTTGAACTTTTAAATTTGGCTAAATACATTTTTTTCAAACTAAAATACATTTTTTTCAAACTAAAATACATTTTTTTCAAACTAAAATACTTTTTTTCAAACTAAAATACATTTTTTTCAAACTAAAATACATTTTTTTCAAACTAAAATACATTTTTTTCAAACTAAAATACTTTTTTTCAAACTAAAATACTTTTTTTTTTTATTATAAAAATACAATTAGAATGAAAATTTTTTTATACAATTTATTTAAACAAAAAAAATTTATCAGACATCCTCTTAAATTTTTTGCAAAATCTTTTCAGTATATTTAGAAATATGTATTAAAATAAAGAAATTTTTTTTTTAAAAAACGTTCCCAAGACAAAGAAGAATTAATTTATTCTAAAAATTTGACGTTTGTAAAATTCGTAACTATTATTTTTAAAAAAATAAATAAATAAATAACGTTTATGATGAATGATTGAAAAAAAATATTTTTTTATCTGAAATTTTATTTAATTGAAATGTACTAAATTATAATTACAAAATTAAATTTTTTTGCCTATAAATTTTTTTTTTAAATTATCAATCAAGAAACGTTATAAAAAATCTTTTATACAAAAAATTATAATAATTTGCATAGAAAAAAAATTGAAAATAGGTCTATATTTAAAAACCAAAAATTCATAACTTACTCTCTAAATTTGAATCAGCGGAATCTCGCTGATTCTCAGCTATAAGTATACCACTGATTCTAATCAGCTTATATGCACTGATGAATTAGTGGAATTTCACTGATTTTTCAGCGTATATCCGCTGATTGGTACCAGTGGTATACTTATCGCTGATTCAAATTTAGAGAGTAAAAATTCGGGCACTTAAAATAAAATAAAAAGTACTTTTTTTCTCTATAGAACGAAAAAAAAACTATATATTTAGCCGAATGTAAAAAATAAACTATAAATTTCGATTTGAAATCGCCAATATATATATGGGGCATTCCACGGGAGATTTTCATTCAAAATTTTTTTTTCCCCGAAACATTTTTTTTCGAAATCTATATGAAAAATAAGGATATACGTATTTTTTTATTTTTTCATTTGAATGGAAGTGTGTTTTTGGGACATTTTTTAATCTATTGTACTAAGAAATTAAAAATTATGCTATATATGAAATTTGTTCATTTTTTCTTAAATTTTTCAAATATCTGCTCAAAAATAACGTTCATATAAGAGAAGCAAAAAATTAAAAATCGAAAGTGTCTCTTTTGAGAAAACTCACTTTTTGAGTTTAATTTCAACTTTTTTGTTACTTCTCTTATAGGTACGTTATTTTTGAGCAGATATTTGAAAAATTTAAGAAAAAATGAACAAATTTCATATATATAGCATAATTTTTAATTTATTAGTACAATAGATTAAAAAATGTCCCAAAAACACACTTCAATCGTTGACGTTAAATTTCAAAAAATCATAACTTCCTTCATTTTTATCAAATAAAAAATTAAAAAAATACGTATATCCTTATTTTTCATATAGATTTCGAAAAAAAATGTTTCGGGGAAGAAAAAATTTTTGAATGAAAATCTCCCGTGGAATGCCCCATATAAAAAAAAATTGTTTAAAAAAAAGTAGATTTTTTAGAAGTAAAATTCCTTAATATCCTGAAAAATTTTCCATTTAGTTTCTTTTCAATGATGTGAAAATGTGCTGGGAATTGAACAGAACGTTTCTAATCTATGTTTCAGCTGCACAAGCGAAAATCCTAGGACCAGAAGATGTCTACGTGAAGAAAGGTAGTACTATAAGCCTCACGTGCACGGTTAATGTGCAAAGTACACCCCCGAGCAGCGTTTCGTGGCATCACGGGAGTGCAGTAGTGGATTTCGACAGTCCCAGGTATGCACTTGAACCAAGAAAATTTTCCTCTTCTCTCATTCGCTAACTCCATTTACTGTCCTTCGTCTTACAATTTCCATAGAAATATATACATATATATATATATATATATATATATATATATTTCTCACTATACTTCTCTTCTTCCTTCTCGTCGTCTCATATTCACTTTATAACTTTAAAACATATATATACTATCTCTCATAATTTTCATTAATTATGGCTTATTCAACTTTGAAAATTAGTTTTCATTTCAACTTTATTATTATCTTTATTCTACTTGAATTTCCTTAGTTCATGTTATAGTGTAAATTTTCACTATCATTGAATTAACATATTTTTAAATCCACATTTTGAAACAATAATATTTTTATAATAAAAAATTTTCATAATTTTAATTAATGCAGTTTCAGCTCATTAACATAATCTCAAATTCATATTGTTTTTTTGACAGAATTTCCATTAAACCGACTTTTTTATTTAAGGAGCGATCCATGGCAAAACTAAATTTTGATTCTACTTATATTTCGTGATTTGATATTTGTTTATAGGGTCCTAAATAAGTGTACCAAAAGGTTTTGCAAAATTTTTAATATTTTGCAAAGTATTTACAATTAAATAATTTCGTCACATTTTTTTAAAAAAAATTTTATCAAGTAAACTATCACTGTAAAAAGAAGGTACTAAAACAGTACCGATTTTAGGTAGGGGAATAGTGTCAGGGTTGGACACTTGGCCTTTTTTAAATAAGAACACTAGCGCCACCTGTGTGCGTACGTGACGAATCTTCTAGTAGTGTAACCTAACTTTTTGTGGCATTACATTTTTGGAGAATCAAAAGTAGCGTCCCTGTGACTTCGGTGCAATCGAAGAGACAAAAAAAGTTTTGTTTGACTTGTGAATAAACCTAAAAAATGTGTAAAAAAAAGCAAGAATTCGGCAAGGTAAGCTTATTAAATGTATTGTGGGGTGCATAATTTAAGAAGAAAAAAAGTGAAAAATCGAATCGCGACACATGTCTGGTTATGGTTAGCACAATTCGAAAATGATGCTTCTAGTTAGGGTTGGACACCCATATTAATTATGAATTTGACACAATTTATAAATAAATAAATAATTATAAATTTTATTTTATTGATATTTCAGTGCAAAATTGTGCCAAAGATATTAGAAAAATAATACTTAAATTGTATAAATTTTGTTCATCATTTCATTGAGTTATTTGGAACAATAAAGCGTTATTTTTTGTAATTTGAGTTCATTCCTTTTTTAAACCCATGAAGCTTTACAATTTGTAAACAATAAGTAAAGATAAACATGAAAAAATAAGAATAAAAAACATTACAAATGTTATTTTACGTTTTTATTAATAGTGCGTTTCGATTTTCAAAAAGTGTCCAACCCTGACTGAAAAGTTCAACCCTGACTAGATTTTTTTTTTAAATGTTTATAACTTTTTTAATTTTCGACCAATCAATTTACGGTCCACAGCAAAAGTGTTCCTCTTTTGTAGATCTTTCCACCCATATACCACAATTGACTGACTTTATCTAAACAAAATATTTATAAACAAAACACCAAAACTGTGTCCAACCCTGACACTATTCCCCTATCAAAATAGAACCAAATAACAATTTAGTACCTAAAGTCGGTATTAAATTAATATCTTTCGTTTTACAGTGATTGATCGTAGAAAAAAATGTTGTTATTAATAATAATATTTATTTAACTTCAGCCTATTGTGCCAGAAGTGGACTTGGTTTACAATGTTTCAAACTTACATATACATTCACAGAAAATTAAAAGGCATTAAAATAAGCTGCAACGCTTATTATTTTAATCCAATTTTGCTTATTTTAATCCATTTTGCTATTAAAAATTAAAATAAGCAAAATTGGATTAAAATAATAAGCGTTGCAGCTTATTTTAATACCTTATAATTTTCTGTGTTCATATCGATATCTTTCTTCATCTTTTCGTTTCTTTATAATTTTTCTTTTTCCTTCCACAATTTTTTAACTATTTCAACTTTTATATTTCCATAACTGTCATCAATTAAGCTAAAAAATCTCTTTTCTTCGTCATCGCCTAATTCAACAAACCAACTTTTCGCAACTTCACAATCTTTATAACGTAGTGTTCTAAACAATCCCAATCCTTATATAACATAATTTACATTTTCTTTTTTCTTCGTCCAACCAATATTTTCTATAATTTTCAAAATTTCCACACCTTAAATTTGCAATTAAACTGAATCTATTTCCAACCTTATTATTTGTTAAATACTTTAGCATTTCATTGTTTTCTTTGATAACCCTATACCTATGTTATTACCTTACCTATGTTACGCATCAATTCTTTCTTATATCTGTCTCTGTACATCACGTTCTGTTAATCTAATCCTGTTGCTAATATCACGATTTCGATTCATTAAACTCTCTATTCCTAAACTATTCCTATATTGTAATACTTTTCTCTCTTTTTTCCATATAATGTATCCCAACCTTCTTCTTTTAATGTCTGCCAACAAAAAATGTTGTTATTAAAAATTGTAAAGAAGACATTAAAGTTTCAGAATATTATTTTTTAAAATGACTAAAAATACTAAAATAAATGACTAAAAAATAGAATTTTAACAATTTGTTTTAACCTTTTCGTTCCCAAGCTAATCTGAGAACTTCAAAAAAGAAAAGTGCAATTGTTCTTACAGTTTTTCGGGTCGCTGATGACGAATTTGAGGTCAGATTTTTCAAATTTTTAAAATTCAAAATGGCGGATACAACATGGCGGACAATTTTTTAAAAGTGATTCAATCCGCTGGAAAATGGCTACTCTGGGGTTTTTAGGGTCGCTGATTACGAATCCGGTGTTAGTTTTCAAAAATTCAAAATGGCGGATCCAATATGGCGGACAAATTTTTGAAATTGTTAGATTCGCCTGAAATTTGTTACTCGGAGGTTTTCGGGGTCGCTGATTACGAATCTGAAGGCAGATTTTTAAAATTTTCATAATTCAAAATGGCGGATTCAACATGGCGGATAAAATTTAAAAAATTGACCGAATTCGTTTCAAACTCGCTTTTCGAGGGTTTTTGGGGTTTTTTTTTCTTAACCTTTAAACTGATTTAGCGGTCTGACAGACCGCTATTAAAACTTTCATCGCTTATAACTTTTTTTTAAAGCGTTTTTTTAAAGCGTTCTAAATTATGTAAAAATAAAAAAATTAAAACGAAACAATATAGAAATTGACTTTTTAATCATAAAAAATAAAAAATATATACAACAATTGACTTTACAAAATTTAAAATCAATAAAATAACATAAAAAAGGAATAGCGGTCTGACAGACCGGTGAAATCAGTTAGTGTGATTTTTCGGCACGTATCAGTTTAAAGGTTAAATTCGTCCACTATATTGCAAACATCTTTGAATTTTTAGAAATTTCAAAAATCTGATTTCAGATTCGTAATTAGTAACCCCAAAAACCCTCGAGAAGCGAGTTTGAAACGAATTGGGTCAATTTTTTAAATTTTATCCGCCATATTGAATCCGCCATTTTAAATTATGAAAATTTTAAAAATCTGCCTTCAGATTCGTAACACAGCCACACAAAAAAAAGTACCCGGGCCGGGGAATGAGACCAACATTTCTTGATGTATTTTGATGCGCTGAACACGAATCTGAAGTCCGTTTAGCTCCATCACGTCAGGATTTTGACATAACCTCAAAAAACATAGCTGATTTTAAATGACAGAAGAAATTTTTTAAATAATGACAGATTTGCTTGAATCTTGTTACTCGGGGGTTTTTGGGGTCGCTGATTACGAATTTAACGTCAGATTTATAAAATTCAAAATGGCGGATCCAATATGGCGGACGAATTTTTAAAAAGTAGTTGGATTTTTACAAAAATTTGTATCATGGGGTTTTTTTGAATCTATAACTATATAGAGAAAATAAAAAATAAAATATATAAATAAAAAATAGGAAAAGAACTAGGCGCAATTGCGCCTACATCTAGGGTTTCGTGGCACTTTAAATTTTAATTAAAAAAAAATAAATCAAAAATAAATAATTTAAAAATAAATAATAAAATTTATTTTATAAATTTTATGTACTATTAAATTTTATTTATTTAGCAAAATTTTTATTATAAAAAAAAAATTTATGGCAAAATTTTTAAAAAATGGCAATCAAAGAAAATCAAAAATTGGCAAAAATCAAAATTGAAAAAAAGGTAAATGAAAGAAAAAAGAAAGAGTGGCTGTGGAGTGGAGGTCTTTCTTCTATCATTTATCTTTTTTGATTCACAAACAAAAACATTAGGTAAAATGTCCATTCGATAATGTCCACTATTAAGACATGTCAACTCTTGGACATGTCAACTATACTGCCGCCCCAACAAGAATAACCGTATCTGCATTTAGGATGAGTCACCTACTTGCCACTGCCACTGCCACCAATAAGTGACTTAACCAAAATGTAGTTACTGCTACTCTTGTTGGGACGGCAGTATAGAGACATGTCAACTATAAGGACATGTCAACTACTGGGACATGTCAACTATAGGGACATGTCAACTATTGGGACATGTCAATTACTGAGACAGGTCAACTACTGGGACATGTCAATTACAGGGGCATGTTAACTAATGGGACATGTAATGTCCATTCAGTAAATGGAGATTTGGGATCTGTGGGGTCCCAAAATTCGAATTTGGAATCTGTGGTGCCCCAAAATTCGAATTTGGGATCTGTGGGGCCCCAAAATTTGAATTTGGGATCTGTGGTGCCCCAAAAGTTTAATTTCGGATCTGTGGGGCCCCAAAATTTGAATTTGGGATCTGTGGTGCCCCAAAAGTTTAATTTCGGATCTGTGGGGCCCCAAAATTTGAATTTGGGATCTGTGCCCTAAAATTTGATTTTGGGAGCTTTGGTGCCCCAAAATATACTACGGACAGACGGACGCCAAAGTGAAACTATAAGGCTTTCGGCCATGGGCCACGAAACCCTAAAAAATAGAATTTGTTAATATTTATTTATTCTTAATAATTTATGTATTTATTTTTTTTATGAGCCTAAAGTTTTGAACGTTCAAATGAAGGAAATTTCTTTTACAACTTCTTTAAGTACGAATTTTATTACAAAATATCTTAAGAGAAATTATTAATTTAATAATTAATTAATTTAACATTTCATTTTACATAACCATTATAATTTTTAATAATTTATAGATTGAAAAAAATATTTCGTTCATTTGAACGTTCAGAACTTTTGGCTCATTTTTTTTTAGTAAAATTTATTTTTATTTATATATAGTTTTATTTGCTGATAAAAACAATATTTATTATTTTTGAGGTTATGTCACTCGAGTTGAACCACCTTAAAAGTCAAAAATATAACAAATCTGAAAAATAGTAATGTTTTTTTTTTTTGCTTTAAAAATAATATAATTGGAAATATACGTTAAGATTCATAGACGAGGTATATAAGGTTTTTAAGTTTACTTTTTTTTCGTCTCTAAAATAAGCTCGACTTTGATTGAGAACTCAAAAAAAAGAAAAAAAGAACGAAGACTCTTTAACTTTCTCTCCAAGAAGCTGAGAAATTAAGTTGAAAAAAATTAACGTCCTATGAAGTTTTTTTTAACAAGCCCAAGAAATGAACTTTAAGAAAAAATCAACCCTAGAAAGTTTTGAATTTAATCAGTTTCTTTTTAGTATTACTACATATTCTATAGGGCATTTCGTTTCCGGGTCAATGCTTTCACATTCTCCAAGTATAGGACAATTGAATTTCAATTCTTTTTTTTTTGGATTCATTATTTCAATTTTCGATAAATTAATCCGATTTGATTCTGAAATTCAATCCTCTTGAATCTCTTGATATTTTAGAATTGGAAAAAATTGATTATTTGAAAGGAATTTATATATATATATATGTATTATAAAATGAATTTAACTTTTAATTACAAGTTTTCTCTGTAAGGAATAAAGAAAAAAAAATAATCAAAATAAAACAATTATTGCCTGACAGGAAATGAAATGAAAAACGAAAAAGAAACTTGGCGACTATTTTTCCCGATAATGTTGAAATTCCAGTTGAAGAAACTCACTTGAATTGTTATAGATTATCTGTGGAAAAATAATCAGTCTTTGAAGTTCCGATACGTTATGTTTATATATATATATATATATATATATATATATATATATATATATATATTTGTCATTTCTATAAAAACATATATAATGTTTCTATAGTTAAAAGCAGTTTGCAAGTATTTGTGATATAATACAGCGTTCACCACAGGGGCGGAGTTTCCTTGGAGACGGAGAAAACTGAGAGTGGAACGACAAGTAAGCTCTTGGTGACACAAGCCAGATTGAGCGACAGCGGAAATTACACCTGCATACCTAGTAACGCAAATCCTGCCAGTGTGATGGTCCACGTACTGAATGGTAAGTGGTTTTTACATTTAATGTGAAAGTCAATCTATTACGACACTCTCTCTTTCTCACCCCTCTCTGTCACTCAACATGATTAAAATGCAAGAATGACAAAAATTAATGAAACTCTTCCAAAAAAGAAAAATTGCAATTTTCTTCTCATATATTAAAGAAAAACTAATCTAAATATGTTCAAGAATTTCCTATACTATATTATAATTTATGCTCATGAAATTTGTGTTCGTTTCACTTTTTTTTCTTGATGGGTAAGTCCACGTCAGAAATATCAGAATCTGCAAGTGGTTCTTCGATTTTAATGATACTTGGTAAAATTATAGCTTTATATAAGAGCAATGTGTAAGTAAAAGGAATTTTTAAAATATCTAAAATTGTAGGAGTTATATCACTTTTAATTTTGATACTGCATTTTGTTCTTTCCTTTATATCTCGGTCAATTTTCAACCGATTTTGATGAATCAAAAACGTTTTTTTTTCAGAAAATTACGTATTTTCAGAAAATTTTAAAATAAAAATAAAATTTTGTTATTTAAATAGAAAAAAGTAAAAAACAAAATTTCTTTTAGATTTTTTTTCAATTTCGACCTCTTTTTTTAATTTTTAATTTTTTAATAATATTCCTTTTTATTTTATCTTTAATTTAAAAAAAAATTCATCCTGGAGACTTTTTTAGATAACGTGATATCGTTCTTTAAATATTCACATCTCAAGAAAACTAGGATCCAGATTTGTGTTTCTACTTTCATTTGTTTTATAATATTATTGTTACAAACTAGAAACTTTCGCATAATAATGTTTTTATTTTTAAATTACTTGACTAAAACAAGTGAGAATTCAAGCAAATCAATATTTTATTAATAGATTTGAAGCAAAGTTTTTATTTTTTGTAATATTTATAATTTAAAATAAATTGTAATGAAACCTTAACAATGCAACCTGAAATTGTAGCTGAAGTTTTTAGCGCTTTCTTTTAGAGGATTCTAAAACAAATAGTTATTCATAACCATAAAAAATTTCAACAAACAAATGAAAGTAATGATAGAAGCAAGTCCTGCGGTTTTCAAATTGATGAAGACTTATAATACTTAAAGGACGATATCACGAGATCTAAAAAAGTCTCCAGGATGAATTTTTTTTTAAATTAAAGATAAAATAAAAAGGAATATTATTAAAAAATTAAAAATTAAAAAAAAGAGGTCGAAATTGAAAAAAAATCTAAAAGAAATTTTGTTTTTTACTTTTTTCTATTTAAATAACAAAATTTTATTTTTATTTTAAAATTTTCTGAAAATACGTAATTTTCTGAAAAAAATCGTTTTTGATTCATCAAAATCAGTTGAAAATTGACCGAGATATAAAGGAAAGAAAAAAATGCAGTAGCAAAATTAAAAGCGATAAATCTCCTACAATTTTAGATATTTTAAAAATTCCTTTTACTTACACATTGCTCTTATATAAAGCTATAATTTTACCAAGTATCATTAAAATCGAAGAACCACTTGCAGATTCTGATATTTCTGACGTGGACTTACCCTATGTTAAATAATTTTTAAAAATTTACAATTTAAAACATAATGAAGAATGATTTTTTAATGTGAAAAAAACTTAAAAAAAGAGTAATTAAGGTTATTTGGACAAATAATTGTTATATAGTAAAAACTTGCTCATTACATGTACATTAGTCAATATAACTGTATAGAATGTTAAAAACAATTATGATAAAATGTTTCGTTTTTGACGTAAAAAAAAAGAATTACTTTGTTTTTGTTTACAACTAGTGGATTGTATAATGATAAAACTAAAAATTACTGTTTTTTTGGAAAAATTAAATCGTTTTTGATATTTTTTGCAAATTTTTGAAAAATTCGATTTTTGACATCGAAAAAATAGAAAAATAATATAATTTTGATAAAATAAATATGTTCATAAAAAAAAATTGAGTTGAAATAGATGGAAGAATTTAGTTTTAAACGTTTTCTGATTTTTTTTTTGCAAATTTTTAAATACCTAAGCCTATCTCGACATTGAAAAATTTGAAATATCATTTAATTTTGTTAAAATTCATATTTTTTTCGACAGAATTCATTTAAAATTGATTGAAAAAAATTAGTTTTAAATATTTTTGATATTTTTAAAATATCATCTGAATAATTACTAAATACTTTTTTTCAAAGAGTGGAGTATAAAATTTTTCAATTTGAGTATAACACCGTCCGACAAAATTCAATTTTTTTTTTTTGACCCACAAAAAAATCCAACATTTTCGGAAACTAGGACCCGAAAAAAAATACCCGTGTCTGGCTGTTTTGTTAGATCAAGTCGTTGGTGGTTTTTAGGGGTTGAAAACAGCCCCTAAATAAAAAGTGACAAGATATCTTTTAAAAATTATTAATATTTTATAAAACTTGGTATCTGGGGGTTTTCGGGGTCGCTTATTATTAATCTGATGTCAGATTTTCAAAATTCAAAATGGCGGTCAAAATTTTAAAAAGTTATTTTTTTTTAAACCTTGATATCTAGGGGTTTTTTGGGTCGCTGATGACGAATCTGATGTTAAATTTTCAAAATTCAAAATGGCAGATATAAAATAAAAAATTAATAACTTTTTAAAAATTTGATCGCCATATTGGATCCGCCATTTTGAATTTTGAAAATCTGACATCAGATTAATAATCAGTGACACGAAAATCATTTTCGAAAATGTTAAATTTTATTGTGGGTCAAAAATTGTGTCGGACGGTGTAACAGTTAAAAAATTTTCGTATTGTTTTATATGAGCCAAAAGTTCTGAACGTTCAAATGAACGAAATATTTTTTTCAATCTATAAATTATTAAAAATTATGATGGCAATGTAAAATAAAACAATTATTAAATTAAGAACTTCTTTTTAGATATTGAAAACAATATTTTGTATTAAAATTCGTAATTAAAGAAGTTGCAAAAAAAAAATTTTTAATTTTACATCTTTTGTAAATAGTTGATTATTTTTCACTCCCAAATACAATAATCATATTGTTTTTTGAACTTGTGTAGCGAAAATAATAATATGTTCAATTTGGTTTATTATTATGTTCAATTTTGTTAAATTTTCGATAAATTTTTGTTTAAATGGCACTTTAATTATGATTTTTCACATCCCGTGATATTTCCTTTAAACCCAGCAAGAATAATTATTGGTTGTACTGTATCTTTTTTTCTAAATATTTTAAATTCGGATTTATATGGTCCACACAAATTGTCATTTTCTTTTGCTTTATATGAGAAAGATGAAGGTACACTAAACGTGGCTTTTGCACCCTATAAAAATTAAGTTAATATATTAAATTTTTTACGTTAATTAATTTATTTATATATATATAGTGCGATGTAATTTTGTTTTGTATAATAATCCACATTTTATGAAGGCCAATTTTATGTCAATCTGTTTTTATATATAAAATTAATTTTTTACAGTTTTTATTATCTGAAGAGACCCAACGTTAACGAGCGAAAGATGTAATATGTAAAATTATAAAAATAAAATGTGGATCTAATTATTATACAAAACAAAATTACATCGCATTACTTATAAAAAATCTAAAAAAAACATTACATCTCTACTACTATACATGTACATGAAATAATTTTATCATTATTGTTGTACACTTACTTTTTCAATCGGACAATGAGTAACATCTGCGATAGTTTTCAAAATAAAGGTCTGAACTTTTTTATCAATTGTACCGGTTTTATAAACACCGCACAAATTTTCAAGATTAACCGAGACAGTTTTTTTGATCTTTGGAAATTTAATATCAAAACTGGCCTATATATAACAATAAAAAATATACTCATTTATTTAAAATTAAGAAAATATTTTATAACTCAAATTCTATTTTATTATTTGATGCCTATTTGTTACGTGCGTAGCTAATATTGAATATTTTATTTATTTACTCTTAAAGGATTTATTTCTGTGTTAATTGGTTCATTCCATGTAATTTCAGTTTTTCCATCTTTTTTTTCAAAAGTTACATCAGTATAATCTCTTACTTTTGCAATACGTCCCCAAGTTATTTCAACTTTTTTATCCAATGCCTTGAAATATTTTCAATAAAATATTAAATTATTAGTTATTAATTAAATTATTTGTGGTAAATATTTATTTTTGTGAGAAAGTTAATTTTTTCAATTTTATTTAAATTATATTTAATTAAATAGAGTTTCGATATTCTGACTGGTACAACAGAAACTTACATATCGTTTCTTTTTATCAACAGAAAAGTATAAAAGTTAATTGTAAAAATTATCTATAAAAACATTAAGGATAATAACTGGTTATTGTCACGTCACCGTAACTTTTACATTCATAATTATAAGAATCCTTTTAATCAATACCGAGTTATATGTCTCTGCGACAAACACACGTGTTTTTGTTACGCCTCTAAATACTCTTCTCTTAAATGTTCAATTTCCGCCCTTTTGTCGCGCAACTAAACATCTTTCTTTTATATATAAAAGACCCCTGCGTTTTGTATCCTTCTACGACAATCTACTGTATTTCTATTTCTGTATACATACAAATAGAAGCGAGAAATCTTTTATGATACCAGAAGAGCTCACACCCCCACAAAACAAAATGATCCCTTTCTAATTTTCCCTATGTGCTAAAATCAAACGATGTAATAAATGCGCTCTTTCCAATTTTCCTATGTGACGAACCCCTGTGGTATCACCACATTAGAAGAGTACAGCTGCGAATAACCGTAGTCATACTCTTTGTATCTTGAAGAAGCTGGTTCACACCCCCCTTTTTTACGTTCAACTGAGAGAGAAGGACTGAACTTTGACTTCCAAAATTAGGGTGAAAATATATAGTAGGACAATAAAATTTTATCTATTCTCTTACGAAAACTCAGTATAAAAGGACTACATTTTCATGGAGAGATCAGTTCTGGAATCCTCTTCATACGTATAACATCAACCAGTTCTCTAAACATCTTCATACGTATAACATCCACCAGTTCTCAAAACATCTTCATACGTGTAACATCTACCAGTTCTCAAATTATCTTCATACGTATCAATCTCATTCTTGGTGCCAGTCGACGTCTTATAGTACAAGTGCATAATTCTCTTATATCAAAGTGAAAATCAAGCATCAATACCCTCTACATTAAACGAGGATCATCACTACTTATTGCATTGGGCAATTATCTATTCTTCCTTTATTTGGAAGAGACTCATTATTCGGACATTCGTCACGCCTAATAGAACTCCGGACCTGCGGTTATACCTGGGCCCGTCAACCTTCCGGACGTCATAAACTCACGCTGGTACTAGCTCTTTTTCCTGTGTCAACAAAGGACACAGCAGTGGTCCTTTTCTTTATTGAAACTTATCTACTACTGAATTTTAAGGTAAGTGTCTTATATTTTCACTCCTAACTTTCTAAACTTGTCGTATATTTGTGGTAACCCTTACATTCCTTATTTCAGTTGAATGCTGAACTCATTTCCTGGATTGGTTGGTTCGAGATTCCCTCTCTCTCACATAAGAACGAACTATTTTAACCCTAAAAATTTGTCTAAATAAAATTGTAACTTAATTATAAAAATTTCTATTCTCTTTCTTACCTGTACCCTTAGTTCAGAGCCTTCTGCTCTGTAAATGAAACAGGATTACCCTGAATCACCGAAGCGGAAATAAATAAAAATAAAATATAATTTCTAAAGTTATTTCTTATTTTTGAGACGTAACATTATTAATAAAAAAATTTTTTTTTAAATAATGTGTATGAAAATTTTTAGTTTTAAGAGTTATGGGCATTATTCTAGAACTTTTAAACTTTGAGGTTAAAGAAAATTGATTTTTTTTTTTTTTGAGGCACATTCATGAAATTAATTTTATTGGCTTTAGAATTGATCAAATGACAGAAAAAACTTTGCATGATTCACTTTTACACAATGTTATTTTTATTTTTAACATAACGTGTTACGTTAATCGTAAAATTAGTTTTTTTGCTCATGGCCTCGTTTTTAGAAGGTATAGTATATAAAATTATAAGTCTAGTTCTTGAAATTTGAAATAATGGATTAAATATGGCGGACTATTTTTACAAAATTTCTTTGATTTTTAGAAAATTTGATGTGTTAGGGTTTTTAAGGCCATCACAGAAAAAAACTGAGGTCAAAATGAGTCGGTGGACCGACTCATTTTGAACTGCAACAAAAATGAACCTCGAGAAACTCATTTTGAACTTCAGGCAAAAAGCATCAAAATGAGCTAGATCCGATTCATTTTGAGTTCAAGTTAAAATGACAATTATAGTCAATTAAGAAGCACTTTATCATAAAACCATTAATCCAAATCATTGTTTTCAATGAACAAACAGATTACACTTGAAAAACTTTGTTTCTTAAATCCGATTCATTGAATTTATAGAAAACAAAATAAATTATTTTTAGGTTAAAAACTTCTGAATTGACAGAAATAAATACCAACCATGCAACACGAAACATGAAATTTAACGGCGCCACTGTCTAAAAACCAAAGATAATGGCGCCAAATTTAAACTTGAAACTATAACCAAAAATAAAGTGTTATTCATTATAATAATGTAATGATTGTTATAACATATATTAATAATATATATTTATAATTATATAATGTATTATAATACATATAATATATTATAATTATATAATTGTAAAATATTATTATCTCTCATATAAGAAAAATTATCATAATGAAATAAGCATATATTTTAATTGAACATCTTTATTCACCTGAAAATAAATTATTACAATTTGTGTAACAATAATTTTTTTTAATAATTGAACTGATAAATACCCCTGCATATATTATTTTTATTATGAAACATAAAAACTTAGTCACATTATATTACTTAATAGTTACACTAATGTATAGAATTATGGCATTATATCATTTTTAATAATAAAAATAATACTTCCAGGCATCTTAAGAACTAATATATTGTTTTTACAATTTTTAAAGTTTTTTAGAAAGTAATATCGTCTTAAATTAATAAAAATGAAAGAAAATTTCGTTTTATTATTAAATCTCTTGAACAATAAAACGTTTATAAACTTCGTTAAATTGTTTTCATAATTAAAAATAAATTTCAAAATGAAAAAAATGTGAACAATAGTGCCTTTAAATAACAATTATCAAGACATTAATATTAATTAATATTATTAATATTAAATAAATATTAATATAATTAATTAATTCTTGTATATTTTACAATTATTATATATTATCTATTATTATATTTATATTATACTATTTTAAAATATAATACATATAATAGTTTATAAATGAATATTATAAATATAATATATAATAATAATTTATATTATACATTAACTATAATTATTCAAATTTATTGTTAAATTAAAGTAAAAAATATTTCTACTATTTCAATTTGAATATTGCGCCAATGTGGCGCTGCATACATAAGTTGCAGTTGTTGCCAACATAATAATCTTAAAATCTTGAATTTCAACAGAAACTAACATAACCTGACATTTGATCCGGATCCGGTTCATTTTGAGTAACTTGAAGTTAGTTGTTGTTCATTATGATACCGAATTCAGAATGAACTGCAACAAAAATGAACTCAGTTTTTTTCTGGTCCACTGATTACAAATGCAAACTTACTTTTCATTAAAATTTGAAATCCAAATATATGATTTAATATTAAGGACACCAAAAAATTAAAACGATTTATAAGGAATAATCATTTTATTATTGTGAAAAAGTGTGTTTTTTGATTCATTCAAAAAATTACAAGAATTATAAATGAAAAATAAATAAAATAAATCACAAATGTAACATTTTATCTCAGAGTAGAATTTCTTGTCGAAGAGCGAGTTCTTATTTGACTATTTTCATTATTAGTCTTTTAACTAACATCTTTTTTTTGTTTCTTTAATTGTGATACATTAACTTGAAATTTGTAATTAAAACCCAAAAAACGTACACAATGTCAATTTCAAGAAAATCCGTCAATGTCTTAATTGTTTCTCGTCAGTAAGAATATGTATGGTAATAAAAGTTCATAGTTTTTATCACTTATATACTTTCTATAGATAGTGTGAAAGTTAACGATTTTTTTTATATACTTTTATAAGATAGAAGAATAGATCACAATGATTCAAAAGTATACTTAGAAGCTAAATTGTAGATATGCCATTAAAAACTTCGATTTTTTAAAATGAGTTTCGCTTGGAAATTTAAAGTTTGACGTGGTCCCATTTTTTATGTATAGGTGGCACACATTCGGGCAAGGGTTCAAATTACTTCTTATCATATATAGGCAATGTACCCGTGTTGTGTGGTTTCTTAAAAACCAATGTTAAAAAAATTATCTAAGGTTGATTGCTGAATTGTCAACTATAAAAAAAAGTTATCTCGCAATTTTGAAGGTATATAATTTTATTCCTCGGTGAGGCACATCATTAATTTAAGGATTTTTCATTTGTTTACAACTCCAAATACATCCACAAAAAACCACAGACCATAAAAAAAAATGTTAAAAAAAGTTTCAGCGTTAAAACTGAAAAAATGTATAGTGAGTTCGCGCACCAAAAACAGACAAATTTACTACTTTTATTTACTCTCATTGTTTTTTACATATTCATAATAAGTAATAAACACTTGTTACATGTAAAATGAACAAAAATTTGTTGAACTGTGTTGTTGAAAAGTTATATTTAAATTTTTTAAGGTATCATAATGAGCGACAACATAAAGTTTCAAAGTTCTAGAACAATGCCCTTATACCGTCGTTGTCCCAGTAGCCGTCTATGTTTACAAATATCACGTATAATAATAATAATTTAAATTAATTTTCAACAATATTTTATTCTTTTTGGCATGCAACGGACGGCTAATATTGGCATATTCCCATATCGGCGTAGTGTAGTGGTTAGTGCATTCAACTTTGTCAATTATTGTCAATCTTTTAGTTATTCGAACTTTTAATAATTTTTTCTAAAAGTGAGGTTTACCATAAACTTTATTGATAAAATAGCAACAAATTATTATTTTTTCAATTTGATATTTATTTAAATTAAATAAAGAATAAACATTTTAACTTTTTTAGTTAATAAGCCATTCTACTGAAATTCTTTAATTTTGTGTCACAGTATAGTCTAACAGCCAGTTATCTTTCCTCCGAAAGTATTTATCAATACTGGAAATAGATTGGTTCTATGATTTTGTCTAAATATTTTAATGTCAGCAATAAAATTTCCACATCCACCAGATTTATCAATAGTGTATGTATGATTAAATGGTGTAGAATAAGAACTCGTTGTTCCCTGTGAAAAAATATTTTTAAAAAATTTTAATTTTTAAGTTAGAAAAGAGGAGAAAAAAAAATTTCAATAACTAATTAATTTAGTTAATATTATATTTATAATTTACCTTTTGAATTGGACAACTGTCGGTATTTGCTATGGTTTTCAAAATTAAAGTCTGAAGAACTCCTTCAAAACTACCCTTTTGGGCGGGATTGCACAAATTTGAAGAATTACCATATTTTGTTGTTATATTTGGTGAAAGATAAGTGACTGCATAAGTAGCCTGTAATTATTTTATTTTAACAGAAACCCGTGTAGAAAATGAAAACTGGTCCTATCTCTATTTTGCCCTATTATTGACTAGGTCCAAGTTTGGCATTCTAGCTTGGTCCTACAATGATTTATGATGCGATATTAGCCTGGTCCTAACTTGGGTGCCTAGTTAGAACCAGTTTTAATAATAAATAATTAAAAAAATTAATTTTAACCACAATTAATACTAACTTTCTAGAAGGAATATCCTGTAAGTTTTAAATTAAACTCTTGAGAGTTGAATTAAAATTTGGGGTGTACTTCCGAAGTAGGGGTACCTCCGATCTTAATGAAACTTGGTATACTAACGTATTTTGGTGCGCTGATTACGAAAATGATAGTGAAAATTGGCGCAAATTTGATTATCATGGTAAAAACCATAAAAAACACCATAAAATAATGGTTTTTTACGATTATCTCGTAAAAAACAAAAAATTTCGAAAAAAGTTTTAGACAAAAGTTGTAGATCTCAAAAAAACACACATTTTATGTTTTATGCATTTTTTACCAAAAGTCATTATTTTTCGAGAAAAATCCAAAAAACGAAAAACACCATGATAATGAAAACATATACAGCAGTCATGGTTAGACATATTATTTGACTCGTATACAGTATCATATTCACCATTAGTCAGGATCTAACGAATTCCGCAAAATACTTTTGGCCATATCCACCCCCTCTCGCCAAGGTTTTTTTTAAAAAGAAAAGCGAGCAGTACCTTACGCGGCCGAAGGCCGTGTTTACTATTTTGCGTTTACCGCTGCTGTGGACTCCACCCCACAATTTCCGCAAATTACTTTCGGACACATCCACCCTCTCTCGCCAAGATTTCTTAAAAAGAGAAGCGAGCAGTACCTTACGCGGCCGAAGGCCGTGTTTAATATTTTACATTTACCGCTGCTGTAGACTCCACCCCACAATTTCCGCAAATTACTTTCGGACACATCCACCCCCTCTCGCCAAGATTTCTTAAAAAGAGAAGCGAGCAGTACCGAAAGTATTTTGCGGAATTCGTTAGATCCTGACTAATGGTGAATATGATACTGTATACGAGTCAAATAATATGTCTAACCATGACTGCTGTATATGTTTTCATTATCATGGTGTTTTTCGTTTTTTGGATTTTTCTCGAAAAATAATGACTTTTGGTAAAAAATGCATAAAACGTAAAATGTGTGTTTTTTTGAGATCTACAACTTTTGTCTAAAACTTTTTTCGAAATTTTTTGTTCTTTACGAGATAATCGTAAAAAACCATTATTTTTTTTTGTTTTTTATGGTTTTTACCATGATAATCAAATTTGCGCCACTTTTCACTATCATTTTCGTAATCAGCGCACCAAAATACGTTAGTATACCAAGTTTTATTAAAATCGGAGGTACCCCTACTTCGGAAGTATATCCAAAATTTGAACCCTACGGGAATCGAACCCCAGACGCATGACTTAAAAGACCTAACGAACGCTTTAAGGCCAGGTCCAAGTGAGGCAGCGCCATCTACATTAAAACTATAATTTTGAAAAATTTTCAACAGCCTTTTCTCGAAAACAAGAAGGTGAAATGCGTTTTTCTTTATGGATAATTGATTATTAGCAAGAAATACACCAGCTAAAACTTTTTTTGTGTTAAAATGATGAAAAAAAATTTCATGTCGATAAATTAAATATGAGCAGTTTTTTCACAAAAACAGTAACAGTACAATTTCCATTTGGAAAATTAATAAACGTTAAACAATACACCAGCTAAGATTCACCAATCACGAAAATAACAACAAAAAATTTTATTACATATTTAACATGTGGACACTGTTTTACTGATTGTGACAGCCCTTTGGTAGATTATGTATTTCAGGTGGTTAGCAACAGCGCCAATCTCCTCCTTTTGGCAAAATCGCGAAACGTCTGGTGACATATATAACCTGCCAAACGGCTATCATAATTAGTAAAATATGTTATGTTAAAAAACTTTTTTTTTTTGTTATTTTCGTGATTGGTAAATCTTAGCTGGTGTATTTTTTTAGCGTTTATTAATTTTCCAAATGGAAATTGCATTTTTTATTGTAATTTCTAAGAAAGTACTGTTACAGTTTTTGTGAAAAAACTGCTCATATTTAATTTTTTGACATGAAATTTTTTTCATTATTTTAACTCAAAAAAAGTTTTAGATGGTGTATTTCTTGCCAATAATTAATTATCCATAAAGGAAAAAGCATTTTATCTTCTTGTTTTCAAGAAAAGGCTGTTGGAAATTTTCAAAAATTTTAGATTCAATGTAGATGGCGCTGCTTTACTTGGACCTGGCCTTAACGACCGCTGCTACCGAACCTAAGTAGATGTTTTTTTTTGTCTATATAAATTTTCACTATATTTTTTTAATTCTATTTTACAAAAATACTTAAAATCATCCAGAACATTCACTGTAAGTGTTTTATATTATCAAATAATGGATTTAAAACATTATATTGCATTGTTTAATTGTTTAAACAATTTATTGTTATTTATATTAACTTTTCTCGTAGTGCACCTAGAAGGATGCAGTTTTTTCTTAATTTTACAATTTATCAAATCGAATATAAAGCCAGACAGATTTGATTTAAAATTATTAATTTAACAATTCTTTTAACAATTTATTGCTGTTATTTATTAATTTTTTTCTAGTTCATCTAGAAAGGTGCAGCTTTTTCCTAATTTTACAATAGGAAAAAATACTGCATTTTTCTAGAAAAATTATAAAAAATGTTAATAAATAGAAACAATTATTTGTTTAAACAATTTAACATAATAGTTGTTGCAAATTTAATTCTATATTTTATTTTATTTATAACCTTTAAATTAATAACTACTAAGAGAAGGTAACAAATTTATAAAATTATGCTACTGTCTATGTGTATTTAAAAAAGTTATAAATTATGAACAATAAATTGTTTAAACAAATAAAAATTAAACAAAATATTTTTGTAATATATTATTTGGCAATATATATATATATAACAATTAAATAAATTAACAAATATAACTATAAAAAAATGTCTTTAAATATTTATTGCAAATTAATAAATAATTGAAACCATGTAAATAATTATCAATTAATTAAATAAGTATTATTTGAGAATATTTTACAAATCCTAAATTCAATCACTTTTTTCATAAAAAATTTTCTAACACTTAACTAGATGTTCTAGCTAAGTCAAAGTTAGGACCAGTCTAGAATATGAGGCAAAATTCCTGAAATGTCCGAACAAAAAATTAAAAGTTCTCGAATTTAATCCATACTTTTCTAAAATGTTGTTATTGTTGGTGAAAGTCTAAAAATAAATTATTATTGAATTTAATAAAATAGTTTTTGAATTACAACGTTTTTAATTTTTGACTTTTGAAAAAAAAAAATTTTTTCAATGTACAATATTTATAAGAAGAATGCATAAAAGTTAACATATATATAATGATTTTTGAAGCTTTTTTGACGAGCTACACGCTGTTAATAAAATTTTTTTTTTTTAAATAACATTTGACCTTGAAATTCAAGGTCAAAATGTTAATTTACGTTTATCTCAAAATCGGATTTTTTAAAATTATTTTTAACTATCTCAATGGAAAGCTTGACTAATTTCCTACAAAACATGTAATTTTCAGAGTGGGATCTTTTAAAGTTTTTGAGTTATTAATTAATTAATTAATTAATGTTTATAACAAATGAAATATTTTACAAACGAATAAAGTTACCGTAATTCTGAAGTTAGTAATTGAAAGTTAACATAATTCCGCATCCAACGAGCCCTATATGAAGTATTTTGGATAAGTAGATTGTTAATAAACAATTGCAATGTTAACTAATTGTTTATTAACAATCTACTTATCCAAAATACTTCATATAGGGCTCGTTGGATGCGGAATTACCTTAACTTTCAATTGGTAAGTTCAGCATTACCATAACTTTATTTGTTTGTAAAATATTTTATTTTTTACTAACAACAAGCATCCAAAAGCCCTATATGAAGTATTTTTGTTCAATTTTAGTTAAATAACAATAAAAAATGAAATATCTTACAAACAAATAAAGTTATCCTAAATCTAAACTAACCAATTGAAAGTTAAGCTAATTCCCCATCCAACGAGCCCTATATGAAGTATTTTGGATAAGTAGATTGTTAATAAACAATTGCAATGTTAACTAATTGTTTATTAACAATCTACTTATCCAAAATACTTCATATAGGGCTCGTTGGATGCGGAATTACGTTAACTTTCAATCACTAACTTCAGAATTATGGTAACTTTATTCGTTTGTAAAATATTTCATTTGTTATAAACATTTATTAATTAATTAATTAATAACTCAAAAACTTTAAAAGATCCCACTCTGAAAATTACATGTTTTGTAGGAAATTAGTCAAGCTTTCCATTGAGATAGTTAAAAATAATTTTAAAAAATCCGATTTTGAGATAAACGTAAATTAACATTTTGACCTTGAATTTCAAGGTCAAATGTTATTTAAAAAAAAAAATTTTTATTAACAGCGTGTAGCTCGTCAAAAAAGCTTCAAAAATCATTATATATATGTTAACTTTTATGCATTCTTCTTATAAATATTGTACATTGAAAAAAAATTTTTTTTTCAAAAGTCAAAAATTAAAAACGTTGTAATTCAAAAACTATTTTATTAAATTCAATAATAATTGATTTTTAGACTTTCACCAACAATAACAACATTTTAGAAAAGTATGGATTAAATTCGAGAACTTTTAATTTTTTGTTCGGACATTTCAGGAATTTTGCCTCATATATAAACAGGGGCTGCCAAGGTAGGACCAATGTTGGGCCAACAATCATTTTAGGCATACGTTGGTGATTTCAACACGGGAATTATAATTACAATGTAATAAATTTAGAAAATTATATTTTAATTTATATCATATAACTGAAAGTATTGAATTTAGCAATTTTTGTCAACCGAAGTTTAGTTTTTTTTCGACTTTTGAAAAATATTTTTTAAAAATTTTTGGTAATTTTTATTTTCAAAAATAACATTTTTTTTTTATGAAAAAGATTAATTTGTTTGAAATTTGCAAAAAAAATTTACACTTGGCCTGATGAATCTTTTTATTTAACTAATTTATTTTTAAAACAAAATTATCCCTTTTTTCTATTTTTGAAATAAAAAAATAAATAATTCAAATTCCATTTAAGCAGAAATTATTATTTTGTCACAAAATGAAAAGTTTTGAAAAAAAGTATTCCCCCAGTTTAAATGTTATAATTTTTTACCAAAGGATTCAAAATTTTGTACTTTGGTGTATTTTTACAAGTAAATTTTAATTTATTTATTATTATTAATTTAAATTATACAAAAGGTCTTCCTACTTTAAATTTTATAATTTTTGACCAAATGTTCTAAAATTATGTACTCAGATGTATTTTTAAAAAAAAATATTATTGTTTTTATGTATGTAATAAATTTTTTTTTAATTCCTAAATTAAAAAAAATTAATTTGTTTATAATATAAATTTTTATTTTATTAATAAAAATTGCAAAAATTTTGTGATTATGTTTTTCTACTGTGAATGAAATGTAGACTAAAAATTTTTTTTCAAATTGTAAGTGTTTTTTTATAATTTTCTTTTTCCACTTACTCTTAAAGGATTTTCCTTGTCTGAAATATTTGCATTCCAAGTAATATTAGCTTGATTCCAACCATATCTTAAAGATACAAGAGGAGTCAATCCTTTTAAAATTATTCCCCATGTTATTTGAAGTGAACGATCTTCTCCCTTAAAAAAGAAATATTAATATTTTTAATATTTAATTTATATAATATATAATTTTCTGTACAAATGTTTGAATGTAAAAAATTTTTTTTGTACAAAAAAGTGAATTTTTGATGAATAAAATTAATGAAAAATTAAAAGTTTAATATTATAACAATTCTTACTTGTCCAACAACAAAACAAATGAAAAGTAAAAATATAATTTTATACATTTTTTAAAACACTTGATGTTGACAGCTACTAATTCCTAATGAAAATAAAGGTAAGATATTACAACAATTTTCTCTTTATATACTTTTGAAACAAGGAAATTTTACATTATCTATTCACGTGTTATTGTATCAATTAAAAAAAAAGAATATATCATTATAAAGTATAAAATAATTTTTAAAAATTTACAAATTTAAAATACACTATAATCCTTGCTCTAGAAAGTATAAATAATACAAATATATTATTTGTAAAAATTAATATTAAAAAAATAAAATTATTGCAAATTTTATTTCACAAAAAGGAGAAATTTTTTACTACCAAAAAAATGATCATTTATTTATAGAAAAGAAATTTTGAGTTATTAAATATTTTCTAGAAACGTGGTAAAAATTTGTTACTGTCAAAAAAACTATATAATTATTTAAAATTTCAAAAACGGATTGAAAGTGTTCTTTTTTTTAAATAAATAAAAATATTGTAAAAATATAAAAAAAATAGGTAAATAAAAAAAAAAATTCTAAAAATAAGAGTTGAAAATTTTGAACTGAAATTTTTTACTTTTTCAAAAATCATCAAAAAATGTTTTGTCAAAATTGACTCATCTTTGTTATAGCCTCATTATTATTAGCCTAAAAAAAACACACATTTAATGTGTGACAATTTTTAAAAAAATTTTAATTATTTTTTAATTTGTTGATTAACTTTTTTTTTTTCTGGAAAAAAATAAATTTATCATTGGTTTCTAAAATGTAAACTAGTTTATGATAGGAAATAGATAAACACTAATAAAAGCATTATTTAACATGTAATAATTGTAATTAAAGTCGCTACTTCTTTTCTGAGAACTATTTTAACAATTCTTGAACAAAGTATAAGTTAAAAATTCTATAGACTGATAAAACTAAAAAAAAAGTCATAGAAGTTTATTGCCAGATAAAATAAAGCTTGATAATGTAAATTATGTATTACTGCAAAAGTGAATAAATTTACTTGATATATGTAAAGATAATTATGTGAAATTTACTAAATTTTCGTCTTACATTTTAAGAAAAATAAATTCAAAATTATTCAACAATTTTCAATTTTATTTTTAATTTATTTATTATATAATATTCATAATCAACAACATTGAAAATTCTAAAGTGATAAGTTTAAATAAAATAAAGACAGTTTAAAAATTTTTTTCAACCGCCATGTTGGATCTGCCATTTTGAATTTATGACATAGTTTAACAGCCAACGAGATTTCCTCCAAACTTATTTGTCAATATTGGAAATAAGTTGGTTTTATGACTTTTTTTAAATAATTTAATTGTTGCACTAAATTCACCACATCCACCTGATTTAGTAATGGAATAACTATAATTGAATGGTATCGAATAAGAAACTTCCGTTCCCTGTAAAAATATGTTTTTATTTTTTTTAATTTCAATTTTTTTCATCAGTTAAAAAATAGAGAAAAAAATACTTCTTGTAGTGAATTTAGTTTTATAATTTACCTTTTGAATAGGACAACTGTCGGCTTTTGCCATGGTTTTCAATGTAAATGCCTGAAAAACTTCTTCAAAACTATCTTTTTCTGCCGAAATGCACAAATTTGAAGAATTAGCATATCGTGTTACGTTTTTTGAGATATAGTTAAATTCATAAGTGGCCTGTAAATAATTTATTTAATTTTAAGTTAATTATATTTTATTAGGTATATATATTATTATTTATTTTTAGCGTTAATTATTATTAGTTAATATTATTATAAAATTATTAATAAAATTTCAATTTATAAATTTAGTAATATTTAATTTTTAAAAAGTTTTTTATTTTTTGAATTTAATTAAAATTTTAATTTAAAATAATTGATTTTAGAAAATGGTGTCTTCGATAATTATGAAGGAAAGTGTACACCTAGAGGAAATTTTATTCGAACCAAATATATAGTTTATTTAATATTTTTTTTTTATTAAAAACGTTTTTTAATTAATTTTATAATATGTATGTACTACATATATACGATAAATAGGCCTAAAACGATTATTTGGTTTTACAATTTGAATTCAAAAAGTAAAAAAAAAAAAAATTTATTAAGAATTAAAATTTTTTTAATGTTCTTATTCTACTTACTCTTAAAGCATTTTCTTTGTCAGAAACCGATTTATTCCAAGTAATAGTAGTTTGATTTTTATTGCATTTTACTGTTAGAAGAGGAGACAATCCTCGATAAATTTTTCCCCATTTTACTTGAATTGATCGATTATCGTCTCCCTAAAAATGAAATATTAATATTTTTACTATAACTTTCTTTATTTTTTTATTATTTTATTTTTTTTATTACTAGGTACTTGTTATTACAGTTTAACTATTCTATTTTGTCTTTGACTAATACCAACATGAATAAATAAAAATTCGTGTTGCGGAGAAAGTTGTAACGCTTTAATTTTTTTTCTTATGACTCTACTAGATTACAATTAAAAAAAAAAATTCAAAAATTTAAAATTTGATGTATTTTATTGCCTTAATTATAATTGTTACAACTTACCCCAAGACGGGGCAAGTTATGTTCCATTTGAGTGCAAGTTGTAACAAATAATTTTTTTTTTTTAAAAAAAAAAGCTTTTTGTAAGAAAATTCGGAATTTAAAATTTTTTGTAATTTATTGCAAAAATTATGGTTGAATTGATAATTGCAATTATGATAGGGTCAACTGGGGTAAATCCGAACGCTTTTAGTAAGTTTCAACAATAACATAAGTTTTTTCTTTAAAAAAAAAATACTTCCGGTATTCTGGTGCATGAAGTTGTTACTTTACTTCCATAGAACAATTTTATGGGGTAGAAAATTTTTTTGATAAATTACAATCGCAGGAAACTTAGCGTTCGTATTTACCTCGATACTTTGCAACTTTCCTAAAATATGGGGGTAAATACGAACGCCACTGTATTTCAGAAAAATCTTAGGGAAAATAAATTTAAAGTATTGCAATTGTTAAACTTATATAAAAACTCAAAAAAAATACGATAATAAACCTATTATGTAATAATGCATCATATATAAATACAAAAATCAAACAGGTTAAAAATTAAAATGCATTACACAATTAAAACCTTCAATAACTTTATCAAATCATAACGGATTTTTGCAAAACTTGGTACCATTTTGAATTTTGAAAAACTGACTTGAAATTGGTAATTAGCGACCCCAAAAACCGTAGAATACCAAATTTTATTAAGATCCTGAAAAACTTTTTTCAACAAACCATTTGGCAAAAAAATTGAAACACTCCTTCGAGAGAACAGAGATTAAGTTTCTGCTTATTAATTACTAACGAGGATACGTATAGAAAGAAAAACTTTTTTCTATGTACTTTTATAATGTTAAAATAATAGTGTAATCAAATAAAAACAATTTTGTGTGGCTTTGATGTAAAAAAAAATTATTAAAAATACCGTTCGGATTTACCCCAGTTTTCCAATTTTCTTGGGTAAATACGAACGGTCTGATATTATTAATAAAATTTTACAGAAGGCAAAAATCAAATATAGTTTCTGTTCTAGTATTCATAACAAACAATTATAAATAATAAAATGAATTTTTAGCTTCTTTTTCTTCAAATACGAAACAAAATACTGAAAGAGTGTCATCTTTGATTTTCAATCTTTTTTGCAATACTTGTTATCTTTGTTTATGCTGTTGCTAATTAACAAACAAAAAATGGGATAATACTTAAAATCTCTTCAAGAGGATCTGAGGTAAAAATTCTCATATCGAACTTATTTTTAAAAATTTTAATTAAGCTGAAATAATTAGCGTTCGGATTTACCCCCCGTTCGGATTTACCCCGACTGACCCTAATAAAACATTTGATAATTTTCATAATTTATTCAATATTCTAAATTTCATTACAATCAACCACCGGCTCCTCTCTATTATTTTCTTGTAAATTTATAACATATTATAAAAATTTACAAATATTTATTTAATTTTCTATTTTATTTATTAAAACCATTTTCTCTAATAGTATTTTGTTGAATTAATTATGAATTATTAAGTTTTATATTATAAATAAATCTTACTTGTCCAACAGCAAAATAAACGATAAATAGACATATAATTTTATACATCTTGGAATTCTAATATGGAGACAGTTACAAATTCTTAATGAAAATGTAATAAATTTCAACAATTTGTCATTTATATATACGTTTAAAACTGTGAGAAAGTTTTACACTGTTATCTATATCCACTTATTATTATTAAATAAAATTTGAAAAAAAAATTTTTTACAGTGACAATGAATATTTTAAATATCAACGATTATTCATGCAGAATGTTAACAACAATTATTATGATAAGATGTGTCAATTTTTGATGTAAAAAACTTAAACTTTGTTATAGCCTCGTTCTCATTTGATTAATATATTTAAAGTATACTTTATATTTTTTATAAATTTTTATTTATATTTCACATTCACAATTATTCTTTTACATTCGCACTAGTACTTACCTACACTTCCACTAAATTTCTTTTATAACTCTCACTAAAATTATTTTTCTTTATCACACAATAAAAACCTGGGATCAAAATGATCCGGCTACCGGGATCATTTTGATACACAGCAAAAATGAACCAAATCAGGATCATTTTGATTCAAAGACAAAATGACAATTACACAGGCACACAAAAAATAAAAAGCTGTTTGGCCGAGACACTACACTAGTCAATTTCCATGCATTTTTTCACGCTGAATCCGAATCCGAAATCAGAATTATCAGATTGGCTTTTATTTTTGAGATAAACTCAAAAAACTGCTCAGAAAGAAAAATAAAATCAAAAAGTTAAAAAAATTTTGAATGTCACTGCGATAGTGAAATTCCATGTATTTTTTATCGCTGAATCCGAATCCAAAGTCAGAATTGTTAGATTCGCTCAAATTTTTGAGATAATTGCAAAAAAACGCAAGTAACATAAACTCAAAATACTCAAAATCAGTTTTTTGGAATTATCTTCAAAATTTTAGCCAATCTGTCAATTCTGACTTCGAATTCGGATTCAGCAACAAAAAATACATGAAATTATACTATCGCACTGACATTCAAAAATTTTTTAACTTTTTGATTTTATTTTTCTTTCTGAGCAGTTTTTTGAGTTTATCTCAAAAATAAAAGCCAATCTGATAATTCTGTCTCGGCCAAACAGCTTTTTATTTTTTGTGTGCCTGTGTTATTATCGAATAACAAGTAATTAATCAAAAAAATGTGAATTAAAATGATTGTTTCCAATAAGCAAACACACTGCACTTGGAAAAACTTTAATATTTATTGCCGAGTTTGTTATATTTATTAAATTAAGTAAACTAGATTTTTAGGTTAGGAACTGTCATGAGTGACAACGTTCACACCGTTTACAAATAACGTAAACAAAATATTAACGGCCCTACTGTCTGAAAACCAAAGATAATGGTGCGAAATTCAAAAGGTGAAAAAATATAAATATTTTATAAAATTAGTTAAAAATATCTTACAAAAAGAAAAAGACATAAACTAATTTCAAAATTAACAATTTTTTTACTAATAATCAATAATCATCGAGGGGGAATTTACTCAGGTAGTCAAGTGTACACTCTTCCTGTAATACTTGTGTAATACCGTGTAATAATGCGTTATTACGGTGCTGTAATAACGCAAAAAATCTGTAATATCTCTGTAATAATGTGTAATACTCTGTAATAACGTGTAATAACGGTAATATGAGGTGTAATACCTGTAGTCAAGTGTACACGTATTTAACTAGTAAATTCCCTCTCGTCTTATATATTTTTTATGTACCGATTTTAAACGGTTATATCTTTTTTATTTTTATTGATAACAAATGTTTAGTTTTCCGTAAAATTTTGTTTGTAAATTATTATTATTATTATGATAAGATGTGAAAACGAAAACCTCCGAGTAGTAATTTTAATGAGGTTAGCTTGATTTTTGAAATTTTTTCTATTTTGGCGTCCATTTTGGAGGCGTCATTTTGAATTTTAAAAAAATCTCAGACGAAACGCGTTAAGAATTACAATGGAATAAATTGATAAAATTTTATTATAATTATTATTATTTACAAATAATTCACTATTTCAAATTCCGGATAAAAAATAACCATCTTGTTTTTTAATTTTTAGTGGTAAGAGAACCACCTTTACTGGGCTCTCTTTTATTCTATTAAACACACACACACACACACACATTCGAAGGTCATGAAAATGCCAGTCAATTGTCCCTTTATTTCTCTCAAAAGTAGCCAATGGAATGAGCACCAAGTTCAATTTGGACTCTTTACTCTATACTGACGCTTATTGCATTCGGATATACTAAAATGGTTAACTTTTCGATAAATTTTCACTTGAATGACATTTTAATTATGGTTCTTTACAGTCCGTGTTATTTCCTCGAAATACGCCAATAATTATTGGATGTGCGTTTTCTGTATCCATTTTTCTATATACTTTTATTTGCGATCGATGTGGTCCACACAAACCCACATCCCTTGAGTAGGAAAAAATTCCAGGTACAGTGAAAATGGATTTTGCACCCTGTAAAAATAAAGATATTAGAGTAATTTATTCATATTTATGAAGGAAAAATTTTTCATTATCCGTATATTTAATAATATGTAAAATTATCAATTTATCCGAGTCATTTTTGGAGAAAATTAAATTTATTAACATAAGATATTTGCTTGATGACTTATACCTTTTCGATTGGACAAATTTTAACATCTGCGATAGCTGCTAAAATAAAGGACTGAGCGGATGATTTCATTGAGCCATTTTTATAATTACCACATAGATTGTCAATGTCAGCAAACTCAGTTAGTTTAAGCTTTGTATATCTAACAGCAAAAGTAGCCTATATATATAAATATTAAAATAAGAAACATACTCAATATTTCAAATGAAGAAAATATTTTATAATTCATGTTCACAATAAATCTTATATAAAATAAATTTAAAGTTTTGTAAAAATATGATATTTCAATCTTGTTAAATATTCTTGAGGTTTTAGTTTAGAAAGATCATTTAAAAAGTAAATACTTATTTCCGTAATTAACATTGAAAATTTTAGTTGCTTACTCTTAAAGGATTTATGTATTCAGTAACAGGTTCATTCCATTTAATTACAGTTTTGCCATTACTTGTCTTTACAGTTACACCAGAATCATATTTTCCTCTCATAATACGTCCGGAAGTTATTTCAACTTTTTCAGCTACTGTTTTAAAATATTGTTAAATTATTTTTATTTTAAAATCTTATTTGTAATTGTTGATTTATTCATTTAAATACGTTAAGAATTGTAGTTTATTTAATAAAATACATATTACTTATTTAAGTGGAGATTTAGAACTAATTTAGAAGAAACTTACATATTCCAGAGCAAGTGAAACAGCAAACATGAAAAGAAGTTTCAACATTTTTAAATTAAGTATTTTATAAAATTATCAATGTAAAAGTGAAAAAAATTATTATTTAAAAGTTAGCTCTTATTTATATACTTTTAGATAATGGAAACTAATTTCGTTTATCATGAGAAAAGTGAAACTTAATTGCAAAAAATTATCTAATATATGAAAATTAGATTATCTGTAACCCTGCACACTTTTATCGCCTACCATTTCACAGTTATATTTATCACCTGAAGTATTAAATATGAAACATTTTTTTAAATATGGAAACATTTATAATGTCATGCTATATTTTTCAATCCCTATGTCTTAAAAATAAAAAAAAAAATATTTAAAAATAAATCCCATCCTGATGGCCTATAGCAAATATATCGACATAGCGTAGATATCGAAAATTATTAAAGTCTCTATAGTTTTCTTGGTCTTAAAATAAAGGTGAAATTATATGGAATATTTTTTTAAACTGTATAACACTTCGAAAAGTGTATGTTTTAAACAATAACAATATTAAATTTTTATTGAGATCCGATTAATTGTTTCACAAATATTAATAATGTTTAAAAAATAATTGACAAAAAATTAAATATGGCGTAACTTTTATAATTTTAAAACTTTTCAAAAATCCTTCGGTACTTTCATTTCTTATATCCAATACTATAATTTTACCAAATTACACACGAATCCAAAGACCTCTTGCAAATTGTGATATTTCTGACGGAGTCTTACCCAATATTTTTTTTTTAATTAATTAGGTCTTTTCAGAAGAAAAAATTTAATAAGCACTTTAAAATAAAAAAAAGTAAATAAGTACGTCTAAATAAATACAACAAGAAATTTAATATTGAATTAAAAAATTTAATTACATTTAAGGCGAGGGTGAATTTACTTCGGTAGTCAAGTGTACACTTGCCTAGTAATACTCGGTAATATCTGTAATATATTTGTAATGTCTTGTAATAATAAGTAGGGGAATAGTGTCAGGGTTGGACACTTGGCTTTTTTTAAATAAGAACATTAGCGCCACCTGTGTGCGTACGTGACAAATCTTCTAGTAGTGTAACCTAACTTTTTGTGCCATTACATTTTTGGAGAATCAAAAGTAGCGTCTCCTGTGTCTTCGGTGCAATCGAAGAGACAAAGAAGTTTTGTTTGACTTGTGAATAAACCTAAAAAATGTGTAAAAAAAGCAAGAATTCGGCAAGGTAAGCTTATTGAATGTATTGTGGGGTACATAATTTAAGAAGAAAAAAAGTGAAAAATCTAATCGCGACACATGTCTGGTTATGGTTAGCACAATTCGAAAATGATGCTTCTAGTTAGGGTTGGACACTTTATACAGTTAGGGTTGGACACCCATATTAATTATGAATTTGACACAATTTATAAATAAATAAATAATTATAAATTTTATTTTATTGATATTTCAGTGCAAAATTGTGCCAAAGATATTTTTTTTACCAATAATGCGTTTCGATTTTCAAAAAGTCTCCAACCCTGACTGAAAAGTCCAACCCTGACTAGATTTTTTTTTTAAATGTATATAACTTTTTTAATTTTGGACCAATCAATTTACGATCCACAGCAAAAGTGTTCCTCTTTTGTAGATCTTTCCATCCATATACCACAATTGACTGAATTTATCTAAACAAAATATTTATAAACAGAAAACCAAAACTGTGTCCAACCCTGACACTATTCCCCTATTATTGTGTAATATCATGTAATACTGTGTAATACTTGTAATATTGTGGTATTATGGTGTAATATCTTAAAAAATTTAAAGAAAGTCAAACCAAAAAATGTTAATATAAGTAAAAATTTTAAACACTTATTCAAATGTAGCGCGGGAGTTGATGCTGAAGTATAACAACTTTCCCATAGGTGGCGGTATCGAATGTTTACAGAATCAAATCAGAAGATGGTTCTTTAGTAATTGGCCGACTTTTAGCTACTTTACCGGAATAAGTAAAAAAATCGACTACAGTAAGACATCTGCTCCTATAATTACACCAAAACAAAATGCACGAGGCTTAGGTAGTTTGTGTTCGTGGTTTAAGATAGCAAAAAACAAATATTAAACGTTATAAACATGGATGCTCACGGATATTATAATATAGAAAATTATATTTGTTCAGTTCTTCCTCCAAAGTTAAAAACAAATAAGTTATATTTATCGTGTTTTCTAAAAGAAATTTCAAAACATTTGAAATAATAGATATTTACGTTTTAAAAAAGAGAAATTTATTATTTTCTTTTATAAGTAGGGTAAATGCACTAATTGCGGCGCGATTCAAGTCAAAACACCTTTGAAATAGAAAATTTGACATTTCTATTGTATAAACTCAATTTAAGACTTATTAAACTAAAAGGTTATGTTATTTAGATGTTAAAAAAATGTTTAACTTTATTAAAATCGATTATTTAAACAAATATGAGAAATTAAAACTAATACCGTAATTTTCTATTGCAGCGCATTTGTAACAGTTTCGGTGACCAAAATTACGTGTATTTTGAAAATACTTTGCCCGCCGAAATTAGAGCCAATGGAAATATTAAAAATGTTTCAATTACGGCGAGGGAAAAAATTTGATCTCAAATAATTAAATTAATAATTGTTTAAATGTGCATCTTTATTAGTAATTGTATAAAAAAAAGATTAAAATAATTATTTTTAATCATTTTACAACAGTTATATTAAATATAGTAGTAATAATAGTTATTTTTTATGAACGCGCCGTAATTGATGCACTTACCCTAATATTTAAAAATATTTAATTATTTATTTCTCTATTTCTTCTCTTAAAGTTTTGCTCTTAATAATAATCTTGTATTATATTAAGTTAACAAGTTTCCAAAAGCGACACCGACACCGTGATCTCGACACCGTCCTTGGAAAATCTATTTTCACTTATTTTCAAATAATTCAAAATACTTTGCCATATGCTTTTAGAAAATCTTACATACTTTTTTTGGTAACATGTTTTTTCAATTTTAACCCGAAAAAAGGGTTATTTTGCAATTTTATGCAATTTTTTACGAATTTTTGTATATATATACCTATAAAATTACTCTATTTTTAAAAATTTACATAAAAACAATTTTTTTTTATTTTTTTCCGCTTTTTTTATTATTTATTGTTGTTTTTTAAATTATTAGTTGCGAACCTATAATATTGTGGCTAGTTTTATTAAAAGTTCTACGTATAAGAAAGCGCTATTTGACGTGTAATATTTTTTGTAATAAAAGGTAATACTCAGTAATATATGTGTAATACCTTGTAATACAGTAATATTTTGGTAGTAGTATGTAATACTTTTAAAAAGTGTAATACTAAGGTAATAATAATAATATGTGTAGTTGTAGTCAAGTGTACACAATTTTTACTAGTAAATTCCTCCTCGCAATTAAGGATTGTTTAATTTTAATTATTTGCGCACGTAATTCATTTATTTTAATTTCAAATTCCAATAAAATCAAACTTGTGTTAACAATAGAAAGACCCTCACTGTACTCTCTCTCTCTCTCCCATTCTATAGGATACTTTTCTTTAAGGATCATAAAATGCCTATCAATTGTCGCTTTATTACCTTCAAAAGTAGACAATAGAATGAGTTACAAGTCCCATTGGTATATTTACTTTACAGTCAGTTATTGCATCCGATTCCTTAATTTGGTTAACTTTCATATAACTTTGGTTTATGATAGTTGAATTATATATATATATATATATCTTTTCCCAGAAAATCTCTTAACAGCCTGTGATATTCCCTTGAAAATAGCCCAATATTATTGGAATTAATTTATCATTTTTTCTAAACACTTTTACTTCCATTCGAAATGGTCCACATAAATCATTGTCAACGGTGGAATACAAATAGGTATAATGTTTACTTATTAATGTGATTTTTGTACCCTGTAAAAATTAAAAATATTTTACACTAAAAAAATATTATTTGAATAAAATATTTTCAAAAACTTATTTTGATAACTGTGCGGATTAAAAAAAAACAATTTAACATAATTTGAATTAATTGAATGTACAAATAATTTTTTTTCAGTGTAGGTATTAATGTATTACTAAATATATCTTTTTAAATCCAAAAAAGTGTTTTTATTTAAATTTGTATTACCTTCTCGATTGGACAAGTTTTGACATTAGCGATAGTTTTCAAAATGAATAACTGGGCCCTGTGTTTAAATGAAGATGTTTCATAAGTACCACACAGATTTTGAATATTAGCCATATCACTTTTATTTCTGCTTGTATATTTAATATAAATTGTAGCCTATTCGTAAAAATAACAAACATACACAGAAAATTATAAGGTATTAAAATAAGCTGCAACGCTTATTATTTTAATGCAATTTTGCTTATTTTAATACCAAAATGGATTAAAATAGGCAAAATTGGATTAAAATAATAAGCGTCGCAACTTATTTTAATGCCTTTTAATTTTCTGTGTATATGTGAATATAATTAATGTTTTATATATCAAGAAAATGTTTTATAATTCGAGTTTTTCTTTATTATATCTTGATATTTATATTTTTTTAGTTGCTAATTGAAAAATTCATTTGCTTACTCTTAATGGATTGTTTGTTGCATTAACGAGTTCATTCCATGTAATTACACTTTTGTCTTTACTTGATTTTATTGTTACACCAGGAATTGGTTTTCCTTTGAAAACACGTCCATATGTTATCTCACCTTTTCTATCTGCTGCCTAAAATTTTTTTTTTAATATCTTATAAATAAATAATTAAACGATCAGGGATAATTATTTACTTTAGGGTCAGTTGGGGTAAATGGAGACAAAATCGCTATTTTTTACAAATTACGTAATTTTCTTCCTTTAAAACGTAATATTTGCGGGTTTATTTTTTTTACATTGTTATTTACATTCCCAGGATTAATTTTATGCAGCAGAAAAAAATTTAGATAAGCTTTAAACGCATGAAACTGACTGTCCCCATTTACCCCAAAATTTAGAAAATTTCAAAAAATTCGGGGTAAATGCGAACAGCATAGTTTCTAAGAAAGTTTTAAGAAAAAAGTATATAAGTATATTTAAGTATATTACTGTATTAAGGGATGAAAAAATTGAAAAAAATTTGTAGTAGATATACAACAGTTGAACCAATTGATTTTTTTTTATTTCAGTACTTTGTCTCGCATTTCAAAGAAAACAGACTTAAAAATCATACCAAATTCTTTTCTTATTCCTTATGACACTCATAACATAACTTCACTTGAATTTTTGATTTTTGTTAATTTGGTTAATAATGACAAAAATCAAAAATTCAAGTGAATTTCTGTTATGGGAGTCATAAGGAATAAGAAAAAAATTTGGTATGATTTTTAAATCTGTTTTCTTTGAAATGCTCGACAAAATACTGAAACAGTTTGACTTTGATTTTCAAGTTTTTATGCGTTGAGCGATAACTTTTTTTATCTTGCTGCCAATTGTCAAAATAAAAGCTTGGCAATACTCAAAACCTCTTGCAGGTGATCTGAGGTTAAAATATTGACGTTGAACTTAATTTTAAAACTGTAAATTAAGCTCCAAAACCTCTTGTCCCAATTTACCCCAACTGACCCTACTTGTTAAGTATATTCAACTGATTTAAAATGAAACTTACAAATCCAATGGCAAAATATACAATAAACACGCAAATAAGTTTTTGCATTTTTAAATGTTATATTATGGGGAATTCTTAATGCAAAACTGAACAAAAATTAAACAAAACAAAATGATAATTTTTCAAAAAAAAAAACATTTCGTTAAGTAACCTTTTATATATATAAAAAAATAGATAAATGTTTGCTATTTATCTTCTACTTTCAGGTGATAAACAAAATTAGTTTGTAGTTATCACCTAATATATATTTTTAACAGTTCTTTTTCAAGTAATTATTTTTTAACAAATATAAATCAATCCTTGAAATTAGATCAAGGAAACATACACTTACGTCAAACTAATTTTTTCAATTCTTTGATATTTCTGTCTCTCGCAAACTGAAAAAGAAATTCAAAATAAATACTTAACACTATTGACACGTGCTTGGGTACTAATGTTTAAATAAGATTATTTTCTAAATTTTAAAAGAATATTCTTAGCATTCAAGTTTTTCCTAGGTGTGAAAGGGTTAATATTACATTAAATTAAAGTTTTTAGCATTTTCTTTTTATTAATTTCAGCAGTAAGAACTACAATACAATAAGTCGAAAATTTGTCAACTAGAATAATATTTTATTTCATAATAATTTGCATATAATTCAATATTTTTAATTTTCGATGTAATAACAGTTGTGACGTGACAATTTGACACGTCACACTGATTTAAAATTAAGTAGAAAAAATATATTTAAATTTAAAGTTTTCGCGCCGTTGACGTTCGCTCGCGAGTAATAAAAGTCAGGTTAGGTAAGTTTCCCTCGTGATCACCGGTTTCTTTACCAAAATCCTTTTCGAAAGTTTGGGAAAATATTTTAAAGAAGTTGTAATATAATAAAAGAAAATAAAAAAGTCGTTTTTTTGAAAATAATGACTGGTGTTACGTCTCAAATAGAGAAATAACTAACGAAATAATATTTTATTTTATTTATGGCCACTTGGTGATTCAGTGAATTCCTGTTTCATTTACAGAGCAGAAGGCTCTGAGCTAAGGTTACAGGAAAGAAAGAGAATAGTGATTTTTAATGACAAGTTACAAATTTATTTAGACAAACATTTAGAGTTATAAAATTGATCTTTGAGAGAGAGAGAGAGAGAGAGTATCCTGAAGCAACCATTCTTGAAATAAGGGGAAGTCAGTATTCCACTGCAACAAGGAATGTAAAGGTTACTACAAATTTTTATAAGGAGTTAGGAAGGATTTAGATAAAAAGTATTACAACTTACCTTGAAAATTTAGATGTAAGATGTATGAAAAAGGACGACTGCTGTGTCCTAATTATGATAGAAACTTCTGGTACCAGATATAGTTTAAGAGCTCACAGGAAAGTTGACGGGCCTTAGTGATGACCACAGGTCCGGAGTTCAGTTGACCGTAATGAAAGACAAACAGTTAAATTCTTCCAGAAAAGAAAGAAAAAATGATTTCCAAATATTCCCAAGAAGCACGTAATATATCCTCAATATCAAGATAATATTACACGTGAGATTCGTAATATAACGCTGTAATATTACAGTAATCTTACAGTGATCTTAAAATGTCCGCCTCAAGGTAATATTACCGGGAATATTACTGTAATATTACAGTAATATTACAGACTGATTTGAGTTATTCATAAAGCATAAAAAACGTAAATATATTATAAGTCAATTTGGCTTGTTGGTAAAACTCTGGACTCGTGTGCTTTGAGTTCGGGGTTCGATTCCCTGGATGGGTAGATTTTTTTCGTAAAGAAATGTTGCCATAATATTACTATAATATTCTCTTGTAATATTACCTTAATATTACGGTATAATATTACTGCAATATTACTGTAATATTACCTTAATATTAGCGCGTAATATTACAGTAACATTACCGGTAATATTACCTTGAGGCGGACATTTTAAGATCACTGTAAGATTACTGTAATATTACAACGTTATTTTACGAATCTTACATGTAATATTACTTTGATATTGAGGTTATATTACGTGCTTCTTGGGTTATGGGAAGTCAAATCCTTGAATACTTGAATGAGCTCTTCTTGATGTAGAAACTTTTAACACTTGATACAGAGATTCTTCTAAGTCGAACTTGAGTATGAAATCGAGCAGAGTAACAATGCTTGTACTAGACTGCGTCAATAGTTAATTTTTCATAAGGTGATGTTAGATTTTTGTTTTGTTATCTACCATTATCAAAAACCGAAGGTGACTGCGTTTGTCCTTTAACGGCAAAGGAAATGCAGTAAAAATTGAAAATTACAAGGTTATAATAAAAATTATTATTTTTCCGTTTTTATTTAAATTATTTTTTTTTATTTATTATGACTTTGAAAATTTTTAATTCTCACACATTATTGACTTATGTTAGACGTTCTGTTAAAAATCCAAAATGTAAATATTCTCTCATAGGCCTTTTCGTAGAATATATTTGATGAATTGAGTTGAAATGTAGAAAAGTTAAAAAAATATATATATACCTAAAGATTTGTTGAAAATGTGATTTGTTGATGTGCTGGATTTTTTGTCAAAAAATTTATTTAAAAAAACTGATATTTGTCACGAAAGTAAAAAAAATTGAATAGCCTCAACATTAAACAAAATTCTTGATAATAATTTTTTACTTTCTCGCAAAATTTTATCTCAACAAGTTTATTTTATGAAAAAACTTACAAAAACTATATTTACATATAAAATCATGTAACCTGACTGTTAAAACATTCTCAAATGACCTTTATTTCATTATGTTTCTAAGCAGCCAGTGATATTTCCTCTAAATACGCCAATAATTATTGGAAGTGCATCTCCTTTATCCTTTTTTCTAAATATTTTCATTTCCGATCGATATGGTCCACACAATTTTTTATCCTTTGGCTCTGAATACGAATAAGTTGTAGGTACACTAAAAGTGGCTTTTGCACCCTTTAAAAAGATTGTGTAAATTAATTTTTCGACATTAATTTATTGATGTACAGAAAAGATTTGCTTTTATTGTTATATATATTTATACCTTTTTGATTGGACAATTTACAATATCTGCGACAGTTTTTAAAGCGAACCTCTGAACACTTCCTTCAAGTGAATATTTTTCATAAGTATTACACAAATTGTCAAGTTCAGCAGATCTACTTTTCTTGAGCTTTGTAAATCTAATAGCAAAAGTAGCCTGCGCAGATAAAAATAATATCATTAAAAAAAAAAAGGAAATATATTTGTTGCTGTTGACAATTTTAAATATTTTATTTACTTACTCTTAAAGGATTTATTTGCGCATTAATGGGTTCATTCCATGTAATTTCAGTTTTGCCATCTTTTGTTTTAATAGTTACACCAGGATAATCTATTACTTTCATAATATGTCCCCATGTTATTTCAGCTTTTTTATCCAATGCCTTAAAATATTTTTTTCTTTTTAAACTTTTGTCTTATTTTACTATAATTAATTCTCTATTTATATGTGAAGAAGTTAATTGCAATATATTTATTAAGGGTATGTGGGAACCTCCCACGTGACCTAGTATGGGAAAATGTGTTTTGGTAGTATACATTTCACTCTAAAATGAGAAAAGATTTTTGTCTAAAATTTTGAGGGATGATAGATTAGGATACAAGGAATCTCGCTGTTCTCCGAAAAATACATAATTTTGCGTTAAATTATTAAAAAATGAAGTTTAAAAAGTGGCATTTTTAAACGAAAATGAAAACAAAGATGGCGGCGCATACACAGACGTTGCTTGAGTGTGTCAGTGCTCCAGTAAACTGCGCCAATTCGAGCAAGTGGCCGCTGAATGAACTACGATTAAATACATTATTTTACTATTTATTGCTTTATTTTTATCATTTTTGCGTTAAGTTATGGTAAATGAGTAGAACAGCGAGATTACTTGTACCAAACAAAATCATTTCTCCAAAATTTTAACCCGAAATCTTTTTTTTATTTCAGAGAAAGTTTCAAACCCCAAAAAAAATACCTCCTTTGCCCACATACCCTTAAGTGCAGATTTTCCTTAATCTTAGAGAACTGAATTTTTTTTTTAAATTTTACATTTTATAATTTAAATTAATTTTGTTTTGTAAATGTTAAAAAGGCACCATCTTATCGTGTCCGTCTAAAGGTTAAAAATAATTCAAAAAAGAAACTTACATATCCTGCAGCAAAGGAAACAATCAACACACAAAGAAGTTTCAACATTTTGAAATTATTTTTTACATAGAATTATTATCAATATGCAAAAATAGAAATACAATTGTTTAAAAAGCAGCTCTTATTTATACATTTGTGGTAAGGATAACTAGTTTCGTTTATCAATAGTCGTAGAATTTTATTGCAAAACTATCTGTACATATTTGAAAATTATTATTGACAAAAACAAGTTAATTAACAATACTTAAGTTTTTTTTCTTTTCATTGTATTTTATCGTGTACATTTTTTTTTATCAAATACGAAATATTCTTTAAAATTAGATGTGGAAATGTAAAGCTAATATTTTCAATTTTTTAAAAATATTTCTATAGGTATTTTCTACGTTTTGTAAAAAGAAAAATTTTAATTACCCAAGCAAAAATTTACAACCGGCACAGTGTTGCGCCAGTACTGGCAATTACTGGCAAAGTATTGACCGCCAATATTGAACCAATACTGGCATATGTTTTGGATGATAAAGTTTATTAGTACTGGTCATTAGTAATGGTTTAGTACTGGCGTTCAGTACTGGTTCAATACAGGAATTTAGCAGTAATTTTGTATTTTACCAGTACGAGCAAAATTATAGTAACCAGTAATAAGCCAGCACTGGTAGATATTCAAAATTCAGGTTTTTTTTTCTTTTTACATTAATTGAGGAGCTGGATCGAAGAACTGACTCTTCGCTCGAACAATTAATAAAATTGAAGGAAATTATTGATTAAAATAGAGTTTATTTGATTCAAATATATTTTTTCAGTGTAAGAAAAATAATTTAAGAACTTGATTAATTATGTAGGGGAATAGTGTCAGGGTTGGACACAGTTTTGGTTTTTTGTTTATAAATATTTTGTTTAGATAAATTCAGTCAATTGTGGTATATGGGTGGAAAGATCTACAAAAGAGGAACACTTTTGCCGTGGACCGTAAATTGATTGGTCCAAAATTAATAAAGTTATAAACATTAAAAAAAAAAAATTTATACAATTTAAGTATTATTTTTCTAATATCTTTGGCACAATTTTGCACTGAAATATCAATAAAATAAAAGTTATTTGTATATTTATTTATAAATTGCGTCAAATTCATAATTAATATGGGTGTCCAACCCTAACTAGAAGCATCATTTTCGAATTGTGGTAACCATAACCAGACATGTGTCGCGATTAGATTTTTCACTTTTTTTCTTCTTAAATTATGTACCCCACAATATTTTCAATAAGCTTACCTTGCCGAATTCTTGCTTTTTTTACACATTTTTTAGGTTTATTCACAAGTCAAACAAAACTTTTTTTGTCTCTTCGATTGCACCGAAGTCACAGGAGACGCTACTTTTGATTCTCCAAAAATGTAATGCCACAAAAAGTTAGGTTACACTACTAGAAGATTCGTCACGTACGCATACAGGTGGCGCTAGTGTTCTTATTTAAAAAAAGCCAAGTGTCCAACCCTGACAAGTGCCCAACTCTGACACTATTCCCCTATTTCTTTTATTAAAAAGTTTTAATATTATATTTAAATTTCATAATTCCGTTAACGAACGCATTGCAGTAATCGAAAAGAAGTAGGGGAAAGGTGGGTAAGTTCGCCCAAAAAAAGTTTAGAGTATAAAAAAAGTTACATAATTTTAATGTTTGAGTATAAAAACTCTTTTCATAGTACAAAGACAACCTTTAGAAATAAAACAGAATAGTTATTTGAATTGTCTTTTAATGAAAATATTGAATAAATTGTAATTAAAATATCGATGGTAAAAATGAAGAATTGATCTGAGGTGCGGGTAAGTTTGACTACGGAGGAGGGTAAGTCTGTTTCTTCCAAAAAGTATGAATAAATTGAAGTAAATGTGTCAAATTTTTTTGTATTTGTTTTTATTAATCAAATAATCTTATGAATGTCTTAAAAATTAATACTGTATTATAATGAAATATACATTTTTTTTGTCAAATTTAATTTTTCAATCAAAACTAGTTTTTAAAGGAGGAGAAAGTAGCTACGTAAAGTACGTAACTCTCAGAGACAAATGCGCATGCGCGCTTTGTGCGCGCTTATTTCAAATGTTTTTCTTTCTCAAAATATTCAAATAATTATTTGTTATTATAAATTTATTAAATTATGCATTTTTTCTATTAAAAAATTTTTAGACATGAAAGGAAGAATCAATGCGAATGACAGTGAAAAAGATAATTTATTTATTAATATTTAACAATGTGTAAATAACATTTTTAATATTGGACGAAAAATCATATTTAACAATCATCTATTCTGAAACCCGATTAAAAATCAGATTTAACATTTTTCTATTCGGTATAAAATCTTTTAAAACTTTAAAATATCAAATTTTAGATAGGTATTGTATGTATATAATTGAGGTTATGCATAATAGTAATTTTCTTGATTCTGCTACAATAAATTAAAATTAAAAGCGAAACAAAAATTTAAATAATAAAGTATAAATAAAAATATACTTGTTATTGCAGCATTAAATTAAACTATTTTTAAATAATTACCTGCATTTGTAGAAATCTATCAGTTCTTCTTCTGCTGCATGTCTCTATATATACATTCTGAGCAATTGCGCATGTCCCATACCTAACTTACGTATCTTGCTTGCGCGACTTGTGATTTAACGAACTTAACCGCACGAACTTACTCGACATTAATAGTTTAAAAATTTTATTACTTATTTAATTTTACAACTTATTTTTAATTTTCAAAACATGATTTTCATAAAGTGTAATGTTCCAGAATTATAATAAAAAAAAAATTATCAATTTCTATGAATAATAAATACGTTTTTCCAAAATTTAAAATTGAAAAAATTTACAATTAGAAGCAACTTTTTCATACTTGTTAAATATTTTTGTTAATAACAAACCGATTACAATAAAACTTTTCATACACCATCGTTACCATACAATACTCCATTCTTAAAAATGGTTATACGTAATATTTATTTTTATAAAAGTTATTAAGAAAAACGAACTTATCCGCCGCGCGAACTTACCCACCTTTGCCCTATTAAAATAATTTAAAAACAATATGTATGTAAATTTGATTGTCAAACAACAAAAATACACAATTTTCACGTCTATGAAGTTGGCGTCGACGCTCAACGTCGAAAATTATTTTTTACGGGACCAAAAATAACAAATCATTTTTAAAAAAGTTTTGGGTTCACATAATACCTTAAAAAGTATTTCTTAAGGCATTACATATTTGGACCGAAAATCTTTTGAAAAAAAATAATTTGACATTTTCGGCGCTGAGCGTCAACTTCATGGAGGTCAATTTTGATAATTTTTCTGGATCCTGGCATTCGGTATTGACCCCAAAAACCCCCGAGTAAGTAGTTTTATACTAATTTAAAAGATTTTAGAATTTTTCATCCACCATATTGGATCCGCCATTTTGAATTTTTGAAAACCGATTTCAGATTTGTAATCAATGACTCCGTAAACCCCAGCTTAAGTTATGCTCCGTATTGGGGCAAGTTCACTGAGAAAAAAATTTAGTGATTGCAACAAAATTGTTTGATTAGACAATTTTGGTTCTTGTAACCAAATTTTGGTTGGCTGAAATAAAGTCGTAGAGTTATCTCAACCAAACCTTTGGTTAGGCCAACAAAATTATTTGGTTGAACATTTTTAAATTCTAACCAAAATTTGGTTACGACAACAAAATAATTTGGTTAACACAACAAAATAGTTTGGTCTAAAAAACCAAATGATCGTTTGTTGTCCTAACCAAAATTTGGTTGCGACAACCAAATAATTTTTTTCTCTCTCAGCTCATAGCTTAAGAGAACAGTTAGTTTAAATCTCTCACAAGGATGGGTAGTCCAGTGGTCAGAGCTCCCGATCTTTAGTTTTAAAACAGAGGTTCGATCCCAGGCGGAGATGAGATTTTCCAAAGTCCACAAATATTTCAATTGGATAAATATAAATTCAATGTTAAATTGATAATAAATAAATAATGAAATAAATAAAAAAGATGAAAAGGAAAGAAATAAGGTAGAATAAAATTTTTAATTTTACAAAAAAAAACTGTTTGTTTGATCAACCAAACATTTTTGTTGACCTAACAAAAGAAATTTGGTTGAGCTAACCAAAGATTTTTGTTATACCAACAAAGAATACTCAACCAAATTTTTTGGTTGACTCAAACAAATAGTTTGGTTGCTTAAATACCAACAAAATTTTTTTGTTGGCCCAACCAAATTTTGGTTGCTCTGACTAAACATTTTTCTCAGTGTTGTCACAGCTGGTTTTTTTAAAGAAAATAATTTTTATTTTCATAATTTATTCAACATTTTGAAATTCAAATAGGATTATTATTTTTTATTATAATTATTATAAATAACCACTCTCTGGCTTCATTATTTTAGAGACAATTTACCAGAATTTTAGATTTAAGTGACTTTTAATTAAATTTTTATTTAAACATCATTTTTGGTTATGGCCTTTTTGGACAATCTGTCATAATACCTTTAAATGCACCTATAATTATTGGTTGTGCATTTCCTGTATCCTTTTTTCTAAATACTTTCATTTCCGATCGATATGGTCCACATAAACTCTCTTTTGTTAATTCTGTATAAGAATAAGTTAATGGTACACTAAATGTGGCTTTTGCACCCTATAAAAATTAAAATAATACATTAAACATTTCCAGTTCGTTAATTTAATCGTATATATATTAAAACAAATTTTAAAATTTGTTCTCTTTACCTTGCTAATCGGACACTTTTGGGCATTTGCGATAAATTTTAAAATGAATATCTGAACACTTTCTTCTAATGATGTATGTTCATAAATTCCACACAAATTGTCAAGTTCAGCAGACATAGTTCTCTTTTGTTTTGTAAATCTAATAGAAAAAGTAGCCTACATAAGAATAATAAATACATTTACTATTTTAAGTCAAGAAATTTTCATCTTAATGTTGTGCATATAAAATGCACTTTATATTAAATTCAACATACTCCTGTATATATATACAAAATCGTGTTACAGTTTTTATTTACCATTTTGTATACTTTAGAAAAAATCATTGAAAAAGTAAATATTTGTTAATTTTGAATATTTTATTTAGGGTAACGGCACCAGTGAAGGAACTGACACCAGTGAAAGAACAAATTTCATGTTTTGCAATCTAATTAGTGTAATAAGCAATTTGGTATTATAAATTATATATTTTTATGTTCCTTATTTAATTTACGTCTTTAGTATGTAAGATACCTAGAGAGTTAACACGTAAATTTAGAAAAAAAAAAAAAATTTTTTAAATGTTGTGTTGCAAATTTATCTTCAACAATAAGAACTCTTCTCTGACACGTTATTTCTTTTTTCACATTTAACTAATTTAAACTGCCTTAAATCGTCGGTCTTCTTTAAACTAAATTTATCTTGTGTATTAGAAATACTTCTTTTCATTTAAAAGCTAATAAAATATTAATTTGCCATATGAAAAGCAAATTCCGTCATTGGGTTTTTTTTTTTTTTATTTACTAGTGAAAGAACAGAAATGTTTTTTCACTGGTTCCAATGCAATCCAATGAAGGAACACCTCCAACGAATAGTCTGAAGTCAAACAAAAAAATGACAAAATCAAATAGGTTAACACTGTTAGGTTACAATAATATTGTCAAAATAAATTGCAACTAGATGATTGATTGTAGGTTATAAATGCATTTTCAATTAAAAATAAGATTCTGCAAACTTAGTTAAAAAATATTCATAATTATCATTAATTTACCTTTATTTTAGTATATTACAAACATTTTATTACTTTATCTTTGTTTTAATATATTTTTTAAATATATTTTAAATATATATTTCACATTGTTCTTTCACTGGATGCAGAAAATTCTTTCATTAGACAATTTGTTCTTTCACTGGTGAAATAGGTATGTTTTACTTATTAATTAAAATTTTAATTAACATCTTATATTTATGAAAATTAAATATGACCTTCGCATTCTACACTTAATTAGCTATCGAAAAAAAATTGGTAAAAAAATTTTCAATAACTGCATTCAAAAATAATAAATGATAAAAGTATGCATTTCCTTAAATGTTCTTTCACTGGTGCCGTTACCCTACTTACTCTTAAAGGATTTATTTGCGAATTAACGGGTTCATTCCATGTAATTTCAGTTGTACCATTATTTGTTTTTACAGTTACACCTGGATAATATTTTCCTTTCATAATACGTCCCCAAGTTACTTCAGCTTTTTTAGCCTCTGTCTAAAAAAAAAGTAAAAAGAATCTAAAATTAAGTTACTTCATTCGAAAAGAATGATTTTTTGAATCTACAAATAGTAAAAAGTATTTTATTGCAGTTTTTATTTAATAAAATAAACTAGGTACTTATTTAGTAAAGATTTATTTTAATATTTTGAAAAGAAACATACATATCCTATAGTAAAGAAAACAAATAACACACAAAGAATAAGTTTTAGCATTTTAAAATTTTTAATATATTATTTAGAATCATGTATTCAAAACTGAAAAATTCTTTTCTTTCAGACAGCTCTTATTTATACAAAAAGAAAAGTGATACTAGTTTTGTTTATTATCAGAAAAGTGGAAGTTATTTGTAAACATTTACATGTATATCTATAAAAAACATTATATAGATAAGTGCCGGTTAATTAAAAATATTTACGATGAAATAAGTTTTACAATAGGTAGTTGTTATTTTGTTTTGTAAAATTATGTTTTTTTATCAAATATGAAATATTGTTTAAAATTAGATATGAAAATGTTTAGGGTCAGTTGGGGTAAATGGGGACAAAATTGCTATTTTTCACAAATTACCTAAGTTTCTTCCTTTAAAAGGTAATATTTGCGGTTTTATTTTTTTTTTAACTTGTTATTTACATTCCCAGGATTAATTTTATGTATCAGAAAAAAATTTAGATAAGCTTTAAACTCATGAAACTGACTTTCCCCATTTACCCCAAAATTTAGAAAATTTCATAAAATTTGGGGTAAATGGGGACAGCATAGTTTTTAAGAAAGGTTTAAGAAAAAAGTTTCCTTAAGTATATTACTGTATTAAGAAATGAAAAAACTTGAAAAAAATTTATAGTAGATATATAATAGTTGAACCAATTGAAATTTTTTTATTTTTTTTTATTTCAGTATTTTGTCTCGCATTTGAAAAAAAAACAGACTTAAAAATCACACCAAATTTTTTTCTTATTCCTTATGACTCCCATAATAGAAATTCACTTGAATTTTTGATTTTTATTAATTTCGTTAATAATGATAAGCTGTCCTCATTTACCCCAAAAATTTGAAAACTCAGGGTAAATGGGAACAGCTTGTCATTATTAACCAAATTGATAAAAATCAAAAATTCAAGTGAATTTCTGTTATAGGAGTCATAAGGAATAAGAAAAAAATTTGGTATGATTTTTAAATCTGTTTTCTTTGAAATGCTCGACAAAAAACTGAAACAGTTTGACTTTGATTTTCAAGTTTTCATGCATTGAGCGATAACTTTTTTTATCTTGCTGCCAATTATTGTCAAGATAAAAGCTTGGCAATACTCAAAACCTCTTGCAGGTGATCTGAGATTAAAATGTTGACTTATTGTTAGCGTAATTTTAATAATGGCCTGATTTAGAATCGAAAAGAATTTTTTCAGGAACAAAAAATAAGTTAAAATTACGATAACAATAAGTTTTATTATAAGTTATTAAGTAATATTCCTGAATATTTTTCAAAAAGTTGGAAAGCAGATGCTCGATTACGTAACTATTCCGCATTCCAAATTCCACTTTCCGCATTACGGAATTTACTTTTTACCTCCATTTTTTAGTTTGCAAATTCTTTTTTACATTTTCTGAATTCCGTATTCTACTTTTTACTTTCCGGATTCCAAATTCCAAGTTTCGCTTTTCAAATTTTATTTTTCAACATGCAGGTTTCTCCATTTATTTTTTGATATATTTAATTTAAAAAAAAATGTTACGTAAAACTTTTTATAATATAACACAGGCCAACACTGATTTTGGTGCGGCAAATGTCAGACCTGTTTTTGATATGTTTTTTCATGCTGAACACAAATCCGTAAACGAAAAGTTCCTATCAGCTCTAGTTTTTGAGAAAAACGGGTTTTAAATGTTCAAAAATCGCGTTTTTGTCTAATTTTGAGTACCTTTAGCACTGAAATATAAGGTCGTAGAACCTTCCACTTGGGCTTAAATTGAGGCTTAATGTTTCAACTACTATCCCAAAAAATGACCTATGTTGCACCATAATCTTAAAGTAATTTGTTATCATTTTTGATTCGCAAATATTAATTTTGTAAAAGTTTGAGCGCGTACCTCTAGCAAAGAAAAAAGGATCATAGAACCTTTTATTTGAACTTAAAATAAAGTTTGAATTTTAGACTACAAGCCCTAAAAATTATATTATTCAGTAATAACCTCAAAATTGTTGGTAAATAGTATTTAGCTACAGAACTGATTTGGTAATATTTAAATAACTCTAGTCAATAAAATCAAAGGTGAGTGAACCTTCTTGTTGAGCTTCAATTCAATTTATCCCTTGATTGTAGTTCATAAAAATTACATTGCTGCACCTTAACCTCAAGGACTAGATCACAGAAAAAACTTGGACTCATTTTTGTTGCAACTCATTTTCTTTTGGGTATCGAAATGAGTATGGGACAAACTTCATGTTATTCAAAATGATATTGGCTGGAATTTCAGATTTCTAAGTTGGCATCATAAGCAGAGTAATTTTGTATTTCAATTATTGTTTCTAATATTTCAACAACACCAGAAAGATTATTTTGACCAGTACGAATATTTAGAAGTTTTTAAATAAAAATTATTTATTATTATTTACGTAGATAATAATTAATTTCATAAGTTTTTAAATTTACCGCTATTATTTAAGTTGGCAGTACCGTTCCTGTTGTCAAAACACATGTTTTCATTTTTCTAACCTAAAAACATATTTCCTTTATTATTTTATTACGCGATTACAAGCAATTTTTAATCAAATATATTAAGTCTAGCGTGTTATTTACTTCTTTGTAATTATTATATTTCATGTTTTTGTGCAAAATTATTCGTTATTTCACAATATTTTTCCATTTTTCTTTTTCTCAAAATGAAACTTGCCTGTTTCATTTTGATACTTTTACCTTAGAACTCGAAATGAAACAACCAGTTTCATTTTTGTTGCGAATCAAATTGAGTATAGAATCTATACTCAATTTGAATTCAGGTTTTTTCTGTGATGTACGCGCACAAACTTTTACAAAATTAATATTTGGAAATCAAAAATGGATAACAAATGACTTTGAGGTTATGGTGCAAGATAGGTCATTTTTGGGGATAATAGTTAAAACATTAAGCTTCAAATTAAGCCCAAGTGGAAGGTTCTAAGACCTTTTGTTTCAGTGTTAGAGGTACTCAAAGTTAGCCAAAAACGCGATTTTTGAACATTTTAAACCCGTTTTTCTCAAAAACTAGAGCTGATAGGAAATTTTCGTTTACGAATTCGTGTTCGGCACGAAAAAACCTATCAGAAACAGGTCTGACATTTGCCGCACCAAAAAAGTTTGCTAATTTTGTTGGCCTGTGTAATTAGATTTCGTAAAAATTGTAGTTCTTGATATGTTCATTATTTTTAGCTATAATTTTTGTTTTCTATTTTGGAATATTATTAATATTATTATTTTAAATTTGTAAAACTGGAATGTGGAAAATAGAATACGAAAAGTGGAATGTGAAATGCGGAAAGTGAAGAGTGGAATCCGGAATGTGAAATGCAGAAAGTGAAAAATGGAATGTGGAATGCGTAAAGTGAAGGAAACAAATAAATATTTTATAAAATTAAGGGGTAACACCACCCCCAATTTTGACCCTCTTAAATTTAAATCCTTAAACGAGGTTATATTTTTTTTCTTGCATTATTTAGGTTCTAAAAACATAGAGGATGGTCAAAAAAATAAAATTTTAATTTTTGACCATTTTAGAAATAAATGTCTTAAAAAAATTAATATTTTAAATATCTATATTCTTTCACACTTTTGACTATTTTTCATCGCCAATTTTTTTTCCACGTTCTTTTTTTTAATAATTCTTTAGAATCTCTTGCATGGATTTTCAAAAATTTTAATTTTTTCAAAAAATAAAAATTCTAAAATGATGCAAGAAAAAAAATATAACCTCGTTTAATAATTTAAATTTAAGTGTGTCAAAAATGAATTGTTATTTTGTAATAATAAAAAATAAATTAATTAAAAAACAAAAGAAATTTAACAAAAAATTTTCACCAATAATTACAAGATTTTAAATTAAATCAAACTCTTATGTTTTTATCATTACTTTATTAAATTAAATGTTAGGAATTATTTTTTGTTTTATTTTGTTTAAATGAACCTTTTTTTAATTATTCTTCTTAACAGCCTGTGATATTTCCTTCAAACATCCCGGTAAATAATGGATTGGTATTTCCATTATCCTTTTTTCTAAACACTTTCATTTCCGATCGAAATGGTCCACACAAATTTCCATTCATCGTATACGAAAAAGCTGAAGGTACACTAAATGTGGCTTGTGTTCCCTATAAAAATTAAGTTAATATATTAAATTTTCAACATTATAATTCAACTCATTTTATTCTGTTGCGTCAACAACATTTTTGATTGTCCCAACAAAATTTTAGTTAAGGCAACAAAAATCCTTTTTTTCAAATTTTTGTTATGTCAAACCAAAGTTTGATTGAGACAATCAAAATATTATTTTGTTGTCAAAACCAAACCCTTTTTTCAGTATGTAATTGCTATTATCAATAAATTAATCATTTCAGCAATAAATTACAATAAAAAGAACGTTACAAAATTTCCCATTTTCCCACAAAAGTTATTTTCTTAAAAAAAAAAAAATTATTTTTAAATAGGGTCAGACGGGGTAAATACGAACGCTTTTAGTAAGTTTCAACAATAACCTAAGTTTTTTCTTTTAAAAGACAATACTTTCGGTATTCTGGTGCATGAAGTTGTTACTTTACTTCCATAGAACAATTTTATGGGGTAGAAATTTTTTTTGATAAATTACAATCGCAGGAAACTTAGCGTTCATATTTACCTCGATACTTTGCAACTTTCCTAAAATACCGGGGTAAATACGAACGCCACTGTATTTCAGAAAAATTTTAGGGAAAATAAATTTAAAGTATTGCAATTGTTAAACTTATATAAAAACTCAAAAAAAATACGATAATAAACCTATTATGTAATAATGCATCATATATAAATACAAAAATCAAACAGGTTAAAAATTAAAATGCATTACACAATTAAAACCTTCAATAACTTTATCAAATCATAACGGATTTTTGCAAAAAATTGGTACAGAAAGTATTTTGGAGTGATTGAATGTAAATACAAAAATAAAAGTCAAATTTTTTAAATTCAAAATGGCGGACTTTCCTAAAACTTATTTTTAAAAATGATGAAATTTTAACTCCAAATTCGTAATCAGCGACCCTGAAACCCCCCGAGTAACAATTTTCGAGCGAATCCAAGGAATTTTTTAATTCTCGTCCGCCATTTTGAATTTTGAAAAACTGACTTGAAATTGGTAATCAGCGACTAGAATACCAAATTTTATTAAGATCCTGAAAAACTTTTTTCAACAAACCATTTGGCAAAAAAAGTGGAACACTCCTTCGAGAGAACAGAGATTAAGTTTCTGCTTATTAATTACTAACGAGGATACGTATAGAAAGAAAAACTTTTTTCTATGTACTTTTATAATGTTAAAATAATAGTGTAATGAAATAAAAACAATTTTTGATATAAGAAAAAATTATTGAAAATATCGTTCGGATTTACCCCGGTTTTCCAATTTTCCGGGGTAAATACGAACGGTCTGATATTATTAATAAAATTTTACAGAAGGCAAAAATGAAAAATAGTTTCTGTTTTAGTATTCATAACAAACAATTATAAATAATAAAATGAATTTTTAGCTTCTTTTTCTTCAAATACGAGGCAAAATACTGAAAGAGTGTCATCTTTGATTTTCAATCTTTTTTGCAATACTCGTTATCTTTGTTTATGCTGTTGCTAATTAACAAACGAAAAATGGGATAATACTTAGAATCTCTTGAAGAGGATCTGAGGTAAAAATTCTCATGTCTAACTTATTTTTTTAAATTTTAATTAAGCTGAAATAATTAGCGTTCGGATTTACCCCGGCTGACCCTACCATATTTCAAGATGAGAAAAACCTATTTTTTGTTTTTAAATTTGTCAATTGAATCTCGAAAAAAAATTTTTTATTTAAGACAGCTGAAAATTTCAATTGTTTATAAGTTTAAGAAACAATTTTTTTTTTTTTGTTATATTTTCATTTCAGAAACTTATTTTGATAATACAGTAAGAATAAAAAAAAACTATTAAATTTTTTCAAAAAAATATTCCAGTCAATAAAAAATATTTTAAAAAAATCTCACACTGAATACTCCACACTGGGAAGAATTTTTAATACACTTACTTTTTTGATCGGACAAGTATTAACATCAGCGATAGTTTTCAAAATAAAGAGTTGAACGCTTTCTTTAAATGAAGCTTTTTCATTAGTACCACACAGATTGTCTAGATCAACAGACTCAATTTTATTGAGATTTGTAAATTTAATAATAAAAGTAGCCTACACAAAAGAATAATAAACACATATAATATTGTCTTCAAATTGTACCATTTGTAGTTGAGAAAAAAATCATTAAAAAAAGGTAAACATTTGTTTATAGCAAATATTCAAAACTTTATTTACTCACTCTTAAAGAATTTTTATCTACACTAATTGGTTCATTCCATGTAAATTCAGTTTTATCATTTTTTATTTTTATAGTTAGACCAGGATAATTTATTCCTTTTATAAAACGTGCCTTAGTAAATTCAGCTTTTTTCTCCAATGCCTAAAATATTGTATACCAAATTTTATTTTATAATTATTAACCCCTTGACAGTCGATGGCCCATATATGTCCAAAAATATGGCGTCCAAAAAAATTTTTAAATTGACTAAATTTGCATAAAAATAGTTCCGTTAGGGTTTTTGGGATCGCTAAATCCAAATTTGAGATCAGATTTAAACATAATTAAAAACGGCGGACCCAATATGGCGGAAATTAAAATTAAATTTTTCCGCCATATTAGGTGGCCATTTTTGGTCCGCCATTTTGAATTTTTTTAATTTGACCTTAAATTTGGATTCAGCGACCGCAAAAACTTTTAATACGATGATATAATATTTTTTTGGAAACCTTCTTTTTGGACCGTTTTGGGCCCATAAACGATTTTTGTACTCAACTGCGAAGGGGTTAAACATTGAAATCATTTGCAATATATTATATATATATTATATATTATATATTATATATATTATATATATTTCTTTATGTAAAAAGAAAATTAACAATAATTGAAAGATTATTTAATATAAAAATACATTAATTATTGAGTGAAAAGTTTACTTTAACTTATTTTTCAAAAGAAACTTACATATCCAATAGCAAAGAAAACAACTAATACGCAAAGAAATTTTATCATTTTAAATTTATTTATTACAGACAATCTTCAATGTAAAACTGTAAAAAATTATTTAAAATTCAATTCTTATTTATACATTGTATGTTGGAGAAACTAGTTTTGATTATCATCAGAAACTTAGAAGTTAATTGGAAAAAAAAATTATTATCTATTTAAAAATTATGGATAAAAACCAGTTAATTAACAGTAATTACTGAAATATTTTTTAAAAACCTATTATTTATGAAAAAAAATTTAAACAGCTTGCGGCTATATTTAGAGTCTTGAAACCAACATAACCACAAAATTTAGGTCATTTTTGGCGAGAAATACGGAGAGAGAGAAAGAGGAGGGGAGGGGGAAGGACTTGCGACTCTATTCAGAGTCTTGAAACGAACATAACCTCAAAATTTAGGTCATTTTTGGCGGGAAATACGGAGAGGGGGGAGGACTTGCAGCCCTATTCAGAGTCTTGAAACGAACATAACCTCAAAATATAGATCATTTTTGGCCGTAGAGGGGGGGAGTTGTGGCTATATTCAGAGTCTTGAAACAGCGGCGGCGGCGACATCTTTTTATAATATAGTTAGATATATATTTTTTTTGCTAGAGGATGGGAATATTAAATAAAAAATGTAACGTGGCTTCATATTCAAATGTCTCCATACTATCTAATTTTAAAGAATGTTTTATATTTGATAAAAAAAATAACATTTTGAAAAACATTGTATCAAGTATTATTGTAAATTAATAGGTTTCTATTCCTAAATTTTAAGTAGATAGATAATTTTTTGCAATTAACTTTTACTTCCCTATTGATAAACAAAACTAGTTTTTTTTACATTAAGTGTATAAGAAAAAACTGTCTTTTAAATATATTTTTTTTAATTTTGCATTAAAAATTTTCAACCTAACATAATTTAAAAATTAGATATTTGAAAAAAATTATCAATTCTAAATAAATTAAATTAATTTCAATTTTATTGCAATCTAAATTTTAATTTGAATTTCATGTTATTTAACTTTCAATCAATTCTAATTTTTATTGGTGAAAACAAAATTAATGAATTAAAATTTTAATCACATGCAAATTTAATCAATCGAAATTTTAATCTGTCTAAAGATTAATCGAAATTTTAATCTGTCTAAAGATTAATCGATTTAAACATCAAATTATCGGAATTTAAACTTTTTTCAAATTTTAATTTATTTAAGTTTCAAATTATACGAATTTCAATTTATCCAATTTTTTTAATTGATTTAATTTTCAAATTATTCGTATTTAAATTTTTCCAAATTTTCATTATTTTATGTTTCTAATTAATATAATTTCAATATTTATCCCAATTTTGATTGATTTATGTTTAAAATTATCCAAATTTCAATTTGTCCAATTAGTCTAAAATTATTGGAAATACTTTATCACTTTTCCTAGAAGCTTTCAATTCCGATTGAAATTATTGTTCGCATAGTGGATTTTCTAAATCACTTGAAAACTATAAGTTTATTTCCAAAAAATTATCTATTATAAAAATTGTGAATAAAAATCTTATAATTAACTTGATACAATGTTTTTTGTAAATTACACTTTGTTTAAAACATTGTTTTTTTTTATCAAATGTGAAATATTGTCGAAAAGTTTTGTAAATTTAAATTTTTGAAAATTTTAATATTTACTTTAATTTACAAATTTTACAATTTTGAAAAAAAAATTTATTTCTGATAAAAAAAAAGTATAGGTAATATAAACTTGCATTATACTTATAATTTTTTAAAATAGTATATTTTTCTTTGTGACAAAATGGTAAAATAATGTTCAATTTATTTATTTATTTTTTTTTTTTGAAAATTAGACAAATGAAACGACGCTGATGATCAGAAAAATGTAAATTTTCTTTTCTTTTCTTGGAAAATATATGTTCGTTTCCAAATTTTCTCGCTGATAAATTGAGTTTTAACGATGGAACGATAAATTAGGAGTTTCTTTTAAAGCTGTCGTTGCCAGAAAATCATTTTTAACTTTTTTCCCCCATAAGAACAAGTTTTCGATAAAACAATCGTTAAATTTCATAAAAGAAAGACGCAGTCACAGAAGAGTTTCATGAAATTTTCATATATGCTTTTTCTAATCACCAAACATTTTTACATTCAGAAAAAAGTTTTTCCCAATTCAACGAAGAACGTTTTTTTTTCGTTTTTTATTATAAATAAAAAAATATTCAATTTTCTTTGATATTCAGTTTTTGAAAAAAAATTAATAACAATTTATTGGGCAAAGTTCGCACCAATAGTATTAAATATTATGCAAATTGTAGAAATTTTTTTTTTAACTTGAATCATTTGAGAAATTTTGCTTGTAAAAAAATTTTAGGTTATATTTGTGATTTTTGGATTGAAAATACACATAGGATCAACTCTTAATGCCAGGTCTAAGTGAGGCAGCGCCATCTATATTGAAACTAAAATTTTTGAAAATTTCCAACAGCCTTTTCTTAAAAACAAGAAGATAAAATGCTTTTTCCTTTATGGATAATTGATTATTGGCAAGAAATACACCAGCTAAAACTTTTTTTGAGTTAAAATAATGAAAAAAATTTCATGTCAATAAATTAAATATGAGCAGTTTTTTCACAAAAACTGTAACACATACTTTCTCAGAAATTACAATCAAAAATGCAATTTCCATTTGGAAAATTAATAAACGCTAAAAAATACACCAGCTAAGATTTACCAATCACGAAAATAACAAAAAAAAAAGTTTTTTAACATATTTTACTAATTATGACAGCCGTTTGGCAGGTTATATATGTCACCAGACGTTTTGCAGTTTTGCCGAAAGGAGGAGATTGGCGCTGTTGCTAACCACCTGAAATACATAACCTACAAAAAGGCTGTCACAATCAGTAAAACAGTGTCCATATGTTAAATATGTAATAAAATTTTTTGTTGTTATTTTCGTGATTGGTGAATCTTAGCTGGTGTATTGTTTAACGTTTATTAATTTTCCAAATGGAAATTGTACTGTTACAGTTTTTGTGAAAAAACTGCTCATATTTAATTTTTTCGACATGAAATTTTTTTCATGATTTTAACCCAAAAAAAGTTTTAGCTAGTGTATTTCTTGCTAATAATCAATTATCCATAAAGAAAAACGCATTTTACCTTCTTGTTTTCGAGAAAAAGCTGTTGAAAATTTTTCAAAATTATAGTTTTAATGTAGATGGCGCTGCCTCACTTGGACTTAGCCTTAATATACAAACCACTAATATTTACAGCTTTAATAGATACAAAATACTCAATAGAAACTGATTTTGATTTAAAATAATTAAAAATCAACTAAAAACCTAACCTAAAATTTTTTTCCTTTTAAGGTCACTTTTTTCGTAGAGCGTCACATATATATTTTCTTTTATTTTTAAAAATGAAAGAAAATGTACGATTGTATAAATTTTCCCATTCTGTTGTAAAAATGTGGTTACAACTTTTTATAAAAAATAAATTCTTCTTTTTTTCTCCTATTTCCTTAATTATCAAGTTACAAAATAACTCAAATGTATTGCATAACAGAAATATTTTTTTCCAGACATTTTAGTTTCTTTATTTAGTATATATATATGTATATTTCATAAAATCTTTCGCATCATAAAACAGTCGCACATACACATATCATCGAATAACAAAACAGAGGGACTGAATATTGCGGAAAGAGTGAATTATTTTGACAACTTGTTGGAACATAACAGGAACATAATTATTATAACAAATCCACCCTCTATCTTCTGCCTACCTGAGTCAGATGAAAATTAATGCAGCACAGTTCGTCTGCATAATTAATTTACAGCTATAGGGCTCATATACACACACATACACATACACAACGACATTTGCCATCGACGTTATTTCAAACAGCTGATTACCTGCAGAATTGACCGCAAATTTCAATTATTTCCCGATAAACCCCTGCACGCCCGGTTATTTCAGCCTGCACGTAGAATCTGTGAGCATTAACACGATTACGAATTGCCTCGTGCCATTTTTCGATAACGGTCACGTAAACGAGAGCATAATAGTATTTTCAATTTAATCGTAAATTGCGGTAGTTTCTCGCACACAACTTGTCTTTTTCCCCCAAATATTGTGTGCGAGTGTTTAATCTTTTTTTTTCTCATTATTTTATTATTATATGTGTATTGACCTTTATATTCTCATAGACGTATGAATCGAACTTTAAGGAAGTTCAAAGCATTGATATAACCTTAAACTAAAAAATTGAGCTTCACTGGATAAAAATCTGAAAAATATTCTACAATCGGGCTGCTTTTGCAGAAAAAAATAAACCTGGTTCGACTCATTTTGAGTTCATAATAAATTTACAATTACTGTCGAATAACAATTAATTATTCATAAAAATATGAATTAAAACTCTTTGACGCATAAAACACATTGAATTTGAAAAAATTTGATATTTAAAGTCAATTTATTTCATTGAATAAATTAAGTAAACAAAAATTTTAGGTTAGGAACTTATTTTGTTTGATTTGTTTTAATGGTCTCTTGTATAAACAGGTATACACAGTACTAATTTAGGAACTTATGAACCTACCTGCAGGTTACCATGGCAACAAACGGGTGTGAGTGAGACAGAAAATTTGAATATTCAAATTTTCTGTTGCACTCACTCTTTTGCGTTGCCATGGTAACTTGCAGGCAGCCAAAAAGGTGTGAGAGCGCCTTAACATCAAATACTGGAAATTAAAGATAATGGCGCTAAATTTAAAAGATGTAAAAATGAAATATATATTTTTTTAAATTATCAGTATTTTATAATTTATAAATATTAAAATAATTTAAATATAGGTTCCATCATTTCAAGTTTTTCCTACTTTAACTGTAATAGTGATTTTTTTCAGACATTATTGATGTAGAAAAATATAAATTAAATATTAATCGGTTTTTAATTTATTTGAATTAATAATAATTGTATTGTACTGTCAAAAAATTAAATTATAATTAAATAATAATTAAATACAGAAAAAAATATATTCCTAAAATCAATAAATGGTTTCATCACCAGATGGCGCCTCATTAAATAGACTGCAGTTT